GGGCAGCAGACTTCAAAACAGAATTTCAGATAAGACGTAATATTAGAGATTGTGTCATCAAGTGAAACATCATTAAACAGATCCCATCTTGTGTCACTGAGCATGTTTCTAAGATGTTGTACATTCTCATTTGAGTAACATCTGTGAACAACTTTCTTGGACAAGTTAGAGAAGGCTTTTTTGTGTAACTTTCCGTAAACTTTAGGTAGAACTCGTACAATACAGTGGTCAGAGTTTGAGAGTGGAGCTCTTTTACGAGCTTCGTATATTCCAGAATCATTTATGAATACTAAATCAAGCGAAGTATCTTGTCGAGTTGGGAAGTTAACCACATTTTCATGACCCAGCAGTGTAATAAAACTGTAGTCACTGGCGTTGAAGTCACCAGTTACTACAGACAAGGCGTTACCAAACGAAGAAGCAGCAAAAATAGTGAATTCGTCGGCAAAGATCGATAGTTCTGAGGGACTGCAAGAAGGTGTGACATAGATATTTGTGACAAAAATGCAGTTATACTTAGATAAGTGTTTAGGTCGGCATTTAATAGTTATACAATCAATATTGTCATTTGAGAATTTGAAGCAGACGTTGTTGGCAGTAGACCCTAATATACATAAATTTAGAAATAAAAATAAAATAATAAAATCATGGTGTCTTGTCTACAGGACAACAACGAGGTGAATATAAATATGAAGATCACATTCGGGCAGTGTTATGCAAATCAGCAGCCGGCTGCATGACAGTTAATAATAATAAGTGGGCTTTTAGGGAGAAAACAAGAATTCCTAGGGGAAATCACTGACAGTGACGGGATCGCACCAATGCCCGAACAAATGGATATCGTCAAACAGTGTCACCCTCACCCCCCTCAATCAACTTCGGGGTTCTCTGGAGTTGATCGACAAATATCAACGCTTCGAAGCCAACTCATCATACTGTATGCGCCCCTGCTCGATGCCTCAGTTGGAAAACAAAAAGAATTTCAGTAATCGGAGGCATCCGACGCGGCTACAGAGCTGAAAAAAGCGTTGGCAAAAGCCACGACCAAGAAATATCTTAATCCAGGTTCTCCTGTTGCATTAATATCAGACGCATTAGATAAGACTGCGGAAGTGGTTCTAAATTAACCCGTGGTAAATAGCTGGGAGCCAATGGAATTCCTGTCCAAACCTCTTAATCCTACAGAAATGAGTTATCCTACTTTGGTTAGAGAGTTACTAGCAATCTACTCAGCAGTTACATACTTCCGCCACATGAAAGAGGCCAGACCATTCACTACCTACACAGATCAAAATCCTCTCACTTACTCTCCCAACACGAAAACCGACAAATACTCACCAAGCCAGTCAATATCTGCCACGCCTTACTAATGATATTAGATATGTGAAGGAGAAATTCGTAGCTGGTGCACTATCAAGAATGCACTCAAATACAGTGCAACGAACCTCTGTAGACTTCAAAGCACTAGCCGAAGGTAAAAAGAACAATAGGGAGTTAAAACACATCCTCACTGCCATTACTTTGGTCTCAACCTTAAACAATTATCACGATCTGCAGATGGCGACTTGATATACAACAAAGACTCCTCACGTTCATCGTCTCTGAAATTATGAGATGTGATAGTTCGCATGAAATGCATGCCATTTTTGCAGGCACGATCAGATATATCATAAGTGACAGTGGTGAAATGCCAATAAACTAGCACTTTTTCGAAAGTTCGAAAGGTACAAGGAATCAGAACAGGTCCGCATACACGCGCGCCGACACAAAATTTGTTTCGTTTCCTGCTGGTAGCTATGTTTAGCCCATCCGGGAGACATACGTTGACGAACTGCTTTGATCCCCCACACTAACAGTTAGCTGGATAGTCAGTCATATGTTGCGGCCACTGAGACGACCACAACGACAGGAATGATAGTTTGGCCAACATCACTGAAGGCTCTCTTCTACAGTATAATGACAGAGAGATTCGACCCAGAATGAAGAAAGTTTACATTTATTCGGTTCTACGCAGCTAGAAACAACACACACCAGGAGTAAGATGAGGACTTCTACAGGCGGTTGCAGCTGGTGATGGACACGGCCCCAGCTAGGTGATGATACCAAAACCCTAACTGGTGAACGTATGCCAGCTCCAAGCAGACAACACAGGAACAGAACACATCACCGGTCGGTAGTCGCTGAATAAAATAAAGAGGAACTGAGAGCTATTTTCAGACTTCTGCTCTTTCAACCATTCCGTGATAAAAGTTAGCACGTACAAGCACAAGGACATCCACCTAGCAATGTGGGTCACATCAGGAGGTTGCGGCATAAATCAGACAGACTTCACCTCATTCCCAAAGGAATGGAGATGCAGCCCACAAAAATTGCAATTGGGAAGAGAAGCAGACGTAGATTCAGGCCATTGTCTAATGCAAGGAACCTACAATACCAGCTCTACAGCCATCAAAGAAGCTAAAGAAAAACCACAGTTCAAGTTCAACAGTCAGAAACTGAGGAATGAAGCTGCAAAGGACACCTCTACTGCAGTCATTCGGAAAAAGTCGGGGACTCCGGGCGATATAGCAAGGGAAACCCACTTAGAGAAACACCGAAACTGTGTGAAAACGACTAGGGAGGAATTCTGTGGAAGTATCCTAGGAAAGAAGCTGAGGCAAGGGAAGAAACTGCTGACCTCGAACTCCTTGGTGTTGACAGAAGAAATAAGGATAGTGAGGCGAAAGGTGTACCAGAAGGCAGACAGACAGTGATAGGAGAAGCCGAGCATAATATATGGGCTACCGAACACAGAAGTTAAGATTACTGCGATGGACAACTAACGCTTCTACGTCACAACAGTTAATGAAGCAGAGTCGGCAGCAGGTTAGTATTTGAAAGCACACGATGTGAAATAGCCAGGCTGATATCCAGGAAGAGATCAATACAGATGAACCAAAGGAAGGATATTCGAGGGTACCTAATCACCAAAGAGGAGTAGCAAAGGAAGCAACGGGCTGATCGATTCGAGGGATTCTTGAACCGACTATCAACTGCAACTAGTCCAGGAATACTACATCAGCCATCTGATAAAGTCAAAAATGTCTTAAAGATAACACATTTACAGAAAACAAGAGAAGCTACAAGAAAGGACAAAATTCCCCTAGTGGCGCTGAAAATGGACCCAGAAGCTTCAACTAACTTGCTGACGCTCACACTTTAGACAATCCAGAAAGAGGGAAAGATGTTTACCTACTGGATGAGGCATTGAAACTTACAAACTTGTAAAAGAGGGCGATTTGAGTCATTGCAAGAACTGGCACGGGATCATGATTCTGTCATCCTCGGCCAAGCTGTTAATTTGCACCATCCTGTAGAGACGAGGAGGTCTGCTGGACGAAGGACTTCACCCTAAACGGGGTAGACACATGGAAATCAAATCATGCGTGGATCATATTGCAGCATTACTCGAACCTAGAACGACAGTAGTCTTTCCACTTTGGCTTCACAGACTAAGGCCTTCGACAGCATTTATTTCAAGGTGATTTGGGGAGCGTTACAGATGCATACAGCTACATAATAACACCACATACCATGTGACTCACTATAGAAAGCTCGGTGAAGATTTTGAAGTGTAGACAGGAGCAATAGAGAATTGCATACTACCACTGATGATCGTCCTAGTTGTAGTGAAACGGACCATGGAGCAGATGGAGGGGAGTGAGAAGACGTTGGACTGTCTAGAACGCCATTGATATAAACTTCAGAGATGATTTACGTCTCACGTCTAACAAATCAGAAGATTTATAAGGGTTAACCAACAGGTTGGCAGAAGAGACAAGACTTAACGTAAACAAGGGGTGATGAATTTACTCAGTCAACAACAGGCAGCAGTCACAATCTGTGGAAGAAATCTAAAGGAAGTCATCCCCTCCACGTGTCTGGCATCGTTTCAACTACAGGCGGTGACATAGATGGTAATGTCAAAGCCGGCTAGGATCTGTAAGTCAGGAGAGGCAATCACGAAACTCAGACCAGGTTGGAGAACTGTAGCACTCAGAATCGGCACAGAGATGCGAAATCTCAACACTGGTAATAAATGAATGCGCCTTTATGTTACAAAGGCTTTGATATGCGTACCAGCAGGGAAATTTCCAACAGGTAGCAGAATTCCATCTGCAGGTGACTTCAGTTCATCAGTGGTGAAGGTTAGATGACAAGCTGGGAGCGATAGGCAATGAGAATTTATGTTATCGAACCCCGCAAACACCCACTAATCAGCAAATATGCAGTGGGAAATGGAGGTGAGCTTGAGACATTCACGCAACAACACAGTAGAGCCATCGAGTGGATTCCGACTGGTCAGTGATGACTTCAGTGTCCGAGTGTAAAATCATGGAATTCATGTGAAGAGGAAATGAAAGCACATATGAGATCATGAAGCTAGCTTAAAATGAAGGCAGGGAACGGAGTACAAAGAACATGTCCTGCTGAAGCCCTTTGTCCCATTACGAACCCAGGAAACATAATAAAATACTGAATAATTATTATTACACAGTGTGTAAATGAGTTGTTTGTTTTCATAGTCTACTGTGCCGATGCCTTTGCGGACAACGACTTCTTTCAATAGTGCTGCTCAATGAGCAAGCTATAGCCAAAGTTGCATTATTTATCAGCATTCACTTAGGGAGAGAAAGAAAATAAGAGTTGGGCTAACACAAAACAGGTGCAGGCACAAGAAGACTAAACACATAAAACGATCCGCACCTGAATTCGCCTTTGTTGTGGCCTCTTATCCTGATATTTGCTCTGTTGTGAAAGTTCATCTGAGAGCATTCTGTGTAAAATCACTTCATCTAACTGCAGACTCGACTTGAATGTTATGGAAGAGCGGGCCTAATAATAGGCATTACTGGCGATTAATTAGTCCTTGAGATGCATAATTCTAACCAAGATGGTAAGTGATTTATTTTTCATCGCCCACGACACAATCGGTTGTTTAAGTATATCAATATACCAAAGAATTGGAGTCGCGCCTTTGGCTTCACCTGGTTGTTTACTCCTGACGATGTTTGATGTGACGGTTAAAACGTTAGATGGTAGGGACTCAGTATTTCAAGTGGAAGATGAAGTAAGTACTAATTCTTTAATTTAAGTCACCAATAGAACATGACCGTTGAGAGCTTCAAGAAAGAGATAGAGGAAAGATTGGTACGTTCATGTGAATTCACATGAATATTAATATTTCTACCTATTCTCTAGAATATAGCATCAGACCAGCAACGTCTAATATTTCAGGGGAGAGTTCTGAACAATGAGCAAACATTGGCTGAATGTGGTGAGTTGATGCCAAAAGTTGTGACAGTTTAATGTGGCATGCAGTTACGTGGATACGTGAACTATTTTATGATGTGAATCAATAACATTCTAGGCCACTAGTATGATGACTGCCGGATGTTGAAGTTCCTTATCTTCTTCAGACTTTTCGATAGCCAACTGAGTGCTGTCTGAGTTCCTTTACTGCATCTAAAAGTTTGTTTAGGTACCTAATATAAGTGTTAATTTCGTATATCACACATTTAATTGCATTATATGTACTGTTTGCCGTGAATCCAGCCTGAATGAAGAAGCTCTCTAAAAGAAGTAATCGCCATAACCTTTCACCATTTCGACATATTCATGGATGTTGCATTCTCCCTTCAAGATTGTTAATGCATATCTTCCTTTAAGTTGAACTTATCGTCTTATGTGCTAGTTTGAGTTTGAATCTGAGAACCCACTGGATTTTAGTCACTGATATCATCACTAGATTTTTCACTCTATTCGTATCCACTTTAACCGATGCGTCCCTGACTTGCACAATTTCAGGTGTTTGCCTTATGTGTATTTATTTTCTTTAATGATAATATGCGTTTTATTTCGGGATGGAGACTCACCATTTCGTTGTCCCTCTATACTTCTAAAAACATCTGCAGTGATTGTTTATTCATCCAAGGTTAGTCCTTTGGAAGGTTGTGGTTTTTATCAGTCCCATCAGTTGTGTCACCCAGACTTTGCCTGGTTTTACTTCCTATATCTAACGCATTTCACAGTTAGCTAAATCACATTGTTGGTGTCTTCAAAATACCACGTACCGGTATGTGTAGGCACTTGATGATGGGACTGAAAAGTGACTGCTGATGTATGCCACTCAAAAACTTGGTTTCTTACTTTTACTATCTCTACTTACCCTTTTTGGTCATATTTCATTTTCGTTCATTTCTTTTGCTTGTATGTTGTAATGAGTAGGAATATGAAGTGGCTTACTTTTGTTGCAAAAGCATAAAATAAGTATGTTTACCGGATTACTGTCTTTTTGTGTTTGTTAATTCAGGTGTTCAAGGAAAAGTAGTACATTTGGTTGTAAGACCTCCTCCGACTACTAGAGAAAACCAACCTACTGTCACTTCAACCAATGATTCGACAGCAAACATAGGTGGTTCTGGTTTGGGCGGTTTCACCTTTGGAGGTATAAGCATGCAGCAGGCGATACAGGATATTACCTCTGGAATACTAAATAGTGTGAACGAGCTCAGAGTTTCTAAGTGAGTGGTTATTTACCTCTGTTTTTTTCCTCGCGCTTCAATTTATCCCCTAACCCTATACTTGCTCTTGCCCTATTGCCTTGAGTTTTATGAAAACAAACTTTGGAGTCAAACAATCTAGTCACTTCACTGACCAGAGTACTTTTGAAGTATCGTTAGTTAGGTGATTTTATCATGTGTCATTTTAGGTTAGTTCCTTGTAAAAACCCTTTTCAGTTTGATCAATATGGATTTACTTAAGTAGGTGTCTTTAGAGTACTAAAATCGGTAATCTGCCACTTGAGGTACTCTTGCTATTATAGATGCAGATGAAGAATTTAAGTCGGTGTATTTACACCATAGCAGTTAATCCTGGGTTATGGTGATTATTTTACTACAAGAAAGCACAGAGTTGTTCCAGTTTGGCATACTGCGTGGATGCTTAGGCCGAAGCCGGTGGTCATCTTCAGTTCTCCCTTGTAAGTCTTAGTTTTTTCCACAAGGCAGTGGGGCAGCCTCAGGTGACCGATACAAGTCCACATGCCATTGGATCCTTTCAGATTTTGAAGTCCATATACACCGTAGTTTTGCAATCAGGGTTTTGCATCTCCACTAGGTAGGCCTGCATGTCCACCAGTTTTGTTGTAAGCACGAGACGTCCGCATTCGCCCCTTTCACTTTTGTGACGAGTACAGCCACTGCGTGAAGACGGTGAGTAGGACTTGCCTGGCTATGAACCTGTGGTCACATAAAAGCATTTCGAGAGAATGATCAATGTATACCCATGCTCGGCTATATCAGGGTGTTTTGTGGGAGCAGTCTTATCTTATTGACATCTCTTGTGCTTTCGCTATCGTGTACTGAGCCATGCTACTAATGCTTCCAATGTTTACAACTATCGCGATTCGCATACCTTTTTTATAGAGGAAAGGATTGCTTTTCTGGGTTTCAGTGGTACTTGTTAAGGGAACATTAGAAAAGAAACGATGACCAACTGTATAATCCAAGCGAAAGTCGAAACGGTTCATTCAGGTCGTTTACATTCACGTATTATTATAACTACAACTGCGCGCGGGAATTTATTACTTATTATTTCATGACTGTTTTTTGTTAAAGTAGAGTTGAATACATTTTCTCAAAATTCACGTTTTGAGATAATGAACATTTGTTTTACACACTACCTATTAATTATTTTTATACACTTATACACTCAGCACTTAATATTTAACATATGGATTAACTTTGGAACTTGTGTGTGTGTGAATAAAAACTATTTCACATAGTATTTTTTTTGTTGCATTATTCCCACCTCACAGTGTATCTTATTAAAGTTTCTACTCATATTAGTTAACGTTTCCAAAGAATTTAATGTTATAAGGTCTTATAAACGTCTTTGGTGTCAAAAATTGTTGACTATTGCTCGTTTGATAACAAAGAACCCACTTATTTTGTTGTCTAAATTAACTTCTACTTCTCTTCAGCATACCTCTGTCGGGCGAGGCAGACTTAGTCGGTGATCCTCCGAATGAACAAGCTTTAATATCTTCGCGTGAAAATACTTTTAACAAGTTACATCGGCAGGCTACTCGTCTTGCACAGAAGATAGCTCAAACATCGTCTAGAGATGTGTGTAATTCTCAAGGTGGGAAAGATAAACCGGCAGATGCTAATCTGACTCCATCAACATCAAATAACACAAGTGTGTTTGCCGTTCAAAAACCCAATGATAATGATGAGACAACTTTCGCTCTTAATGATATGAAAGACAGTAAGCAGGAAGGTAATTCACCAGATAGATGATTTTTGAGCTTCAAACTAAAATTTTATCAAAGTTTTTGAATGTTTTTCTTCGTATCGAATTTTTCAAGCATTTAATCTTAGGAATTGTATTTGACATATTAATCAAGCTAGTATAGTTTTTGTTTAGTGTCACTGCTACTCGTTATCATGAAGGCAATTTATCAACAAATACGTCGAAATTATTAACTATAAGCTTGTGTCTGGCCACGTTATGAAGCCGATGTTATTGGAGGTAACTATCTGTGAATGGATTGAGTTTAGAAATACATAGTAGTAGTTGAAAATTGAGTCACTAAATGCTAAATACTAAAAAAAACTAGAAAATATTAGCTGATTCAGACGCTAATAAGTAAAACTTAGGTAAGACATAGTTTGGACGATGATGTGTGGAAGAATATCAGTTAAGTGTTTTCTTGGAACTAATTGGATTACGTCTACAACGGCCTGATAATGTTTTAGCTGTTGTGTTCAAGTGTTAAGAGGTTTTTGAGGTGTTTGGTTGTGATTATTCAGAGTTCATATGTACTTTGTATCAGCCTGATCCGTGAATTTAAATCCTTGCTCAAAACTAATCTGTTTTTATCGAAATGTGGTAGAATTCTGTAGGTAACTTACTAAACTATATACTGTGTACTCAGATTTGAGCTATAGATCACAATAAAGACCTTCTGGTATCTACTTGTCTGTAAGCAGTATATTGTACGATACTGAAAATATGTTTTTTTTTCAAGTTAACAAAATTGTTGTTAGTCGTGTGTATATTGTCCGTCTGAACGGATCCGTTAGAAAGAAAGATTGCGTCACCCGTCGATGACGCCCACCAACTGACTGCATTTCAAATGAGATAAAGGATGAGCTCTACCAAAAACTGTCTAGTTTGCTGCGAACAGCAAAACGCTCAGATATGGTTGGTTTAGCCGACTACTTCAATGTCTGAGTAGGGAAGTTGTGTCAGTCTGAGAAGTAGTATGTTGGTGGCACCTACGAACCGACAACGGTGATCGTCTTCTACAGTTCTGTTTAGACAATCATCTGTTCCTGGTCAGCACTAGCTTCAACACACAAAGGGAAACATTGCCCAACCTGGCGACCTCCACCATCAAACTAATGATATCCGCATATAGAGACCATATAGCGATAAGCTATCACTGGCGAGGGTCAGTAGAAGACTGCCGTTCCTTCTGGGACACGTGTGTAAACTCCGATCACGCCCTGGTTCGCGCGCACCGACATAAAATCTGTTAACAGCGAAGCAGTTACATTCCGAACTAGATCAAGACACTGAGTCCCTGTTTAAAGAAGAAACAGCTAAGCACATATCTGAGGTTGTGACAGCAAGGCTCCTCCTGAGTAAGCCTGGCACAATATCCAGTCACCTGTAGGCACAGCTGTAAAGGCTGTTCATATGAATTCTGATTTCGTGAAAAAAAAATTGTTGGAAATTAGTCTTTAGATGAATAACAACATTATATTTTGTGGTGCATTAGGGCAGATTAAAATATCCAATCACACTTATGTCTAACAACTTTCTTAATTATGTACTATGATGCATCGATGACGTAACCAATGGCAAAGTATTACTTCTTTGGCTGCTGTTATATTGGCCACTTTTGATATGCTCACCTTTCTTTTCGTAGACTGCAAACAGAAAGAATCATCACCTATGATGGTAGACACGGACGAACACGAAGAAGAGAACGCAAATCGTGTTGACAATGATACTGATGGTGATGAAAGTAAGAAGACGAAAACTGAGGATAAAAATGTTGGAACTACAGAGGAGAATCCAGCCAATCCTCCACAAGAGCGTTCTTTGGCTATGTTAGCAGACATGCTCAGTAGATATTGTGAACTATGGCGTTCAATGGAACCATATTTAGACCAGTGGAGGCAAATGTTGATTGATGAAAGCAAGGTTGTAGAGGTTGTATATGAAAATGATATTACTGATGAAGAGTGTATTGGCGAGTCATCAGGAAATGTTCAAGTTCAAAGCAGTTCAAATCAACCAGTATCAAACTGGCGTCCACGGGTAACCTAAATGAATTGTTGGGGTTTTTTAATTTGTATATATCGGTTTTTCAGTTGTTTTCAAGAGTTAGTTTGTAGAGATTTGATTTGTTTCAAGTGTGTTCACAGACTAACCATTAAGAGCCACAGAGTACTGGACAGATGTTTCGTCCCAGTTTGGGACTCACCAACATCACGCTTATCTTACGTTACTTACCCATTTAAGTGTCAGTGTTACTATATTCCTATCAGCATACCTTTTCGTCTGTTATGTCGTGTAGTCTTTATTCTTTGTATGTGGAGTGTCTGTGAGTGAGTGAGTGCGGTTAGTCATTCTCTTTCGTAATTAAATGACCTATTGGGATGGAAGAGTATGTCACAGATACTCTTGTCTTGTTCACACTCAGAAGTCGGTGTTATAGTTTAAATTGAAAGTTGCAGGACGTATAACAAACAGGTGGTAAACGTTGTACTTATTATAAAAGATTGTTACAGTGTTAGTACCTTCCTTCCTTGGCTTTACTAACCTGTGTTTAGATCGGATGAGAAATAAATATCTTATTGTTTTTCATTAAACCTTATGTAAAATTAAAGTATTGTCGAAGTTAAAGTATCGTAGCCACAATCAAGGTCTTTCAAGGTTGACCTTGAAGGACTAATCGGACGCTTCTGAAGGTCAATGCAAATAGAAACCATAGATATTTGGCTAGTGAGTACCGTGAGGATAAAGCATCTAACTACTGTGTTAATAATGGATTAATTGAAGACTGATGAAGAGTTGTCTAAGCTGTCTTTGACGGATAGCCTACGCCTTATGTACAGCTGGATTTGACGAAGGCCTGTACGGGCAGCCTAGTATCTACAATGCAATGGTATCAGCATTGTAGAGACAGCGTCATGGAGGTTCGGGGGGGGGAATACTGGCTGTCTAGGTGGAGGGGGGGTAGGAGTAGTTGTTCACATTGATGAAACTTTCCTCATTAAAAAGAAGTATACTAGGGGAACAACAAGAGGGGCTAATCAAGTGTGAGTGCTTCGAATATACAACATTTCACTTCGCAAAGGTTTGTGGAAACAATAAGCAATAGAAGTGCGTGCCGGAGTATTAATTTCAATTATTCAGCGCTTGATACTGTCAGGAACGACTATACTGACTGTTGAATGGAGGGAGATATAACCAGTTTTCACCTTTGGGTTTTATTCACTATCGTACCAACCATTCCTTTGACTTTGTGGCTCCAATTGCAGGATTTTGGGGGAGTTTCGAAGAAAAGAATCAGGAATGTCAATGGGTCACAAGATACCATGATTTATTATAGCCACACCCATGAATACATGCATCGGGTTTGGTACAGTTTCTCTGCAGATGAACCTTGGAGAAACTGGAAGACATTTCTACAACGCACTCTAGAGACCATTATCCAGTTTTTAATATCATGTTTGCAACGTCTTCAGTACGCTTTTTTAACGATTATTTCACTTTCTTGCATCTGAATTCTGATTGGTTGTTCAAAGTCACTGAGATTTTTGCTATGATAGTTGTTTAACTTTGCCGAAATATTCTTTTAAAAATTTCATTTTATTATGTTCCTTTACATTTTGATTGGAATATAGAACGAAGGCTTCAAGCTAGAGGAGGTTTGAAGTTTCAATAAGCAGTGATGTGTGTTTCTTTTACGGGGGGTGGGTGTGTGGGTGTTGTTAGCCTCACACCAGCCAACGTTTCTTCCTTTACCAGTCTTTCTAGAGACTAAGTGAGGTGGTTTACGCGTGCATCAACCGGGAATCGAACCTAGGACCATGTGTGTGTGGCTTGACTCGTGAGTGTCCTACCACACTGAATAATCACTGACGCGCACACTTCATGTTCATATGACACACACACACACACACTATAAATTAACTTGAATAGTCTGTCTGTCTGTTTTCGACATAGAACTTTGCACCGATGTGAGGCAGTTCAAGTCACCACACTCCCTCCATGTAGCACACAAAGCAAGAGAAGAAAGTAGCAGAAATGCATAATATAGACAGTAAACAGAGGTGTGAAACAAAGGAATAGTAATAATGAAGAACAAAACAGTTTAATTGGAAATCATAAGTCACAAGGAGTGGATGCATCTGCGCCAGACATTGAGAACGATTTTGAGCCATATCACCAATTGTTTCCAACCATTGGTTTTTACCGTCCCGAGGACCCCAACCAGTCAGGAAGTCTACACCTTCCCAAGTGACTGACTGTTCAAACTAACTGTTGTATATTTCATTGACTGATGACATGTTTTGGTTTGACCGCCGCTAGCTCTTTTCCAGCCTGACCCTATGTCAGCTAACATTGCCCGTCGAGGAAGGCAATGACTAGGCATACGTAACACATGTCCTAACCATCTCAATCGATGTAAATTCATAGCCTCGTCGATTGATTTCCCCTCCTTACCTAGTCTAGCACTCGACGTCTAACCTCGATATTGCTCACCTTATTATACCACTTCACACGGGAGATAGAACGCAGGCACCTATGATCAAAGACAGCTAATCTTTTCATGTCTTCCACTCTCAATGGCCAGGTCTCACCGAGCCATAAAGGAGGACGAAGCGGACTGATGAGTAGTACACACGCCCTTTGGTCGACAGCCAGCCGGATATCACGTCTACGCCAGAGACGGCGTAAACTGGCTTAAATACAATCAAGAATATTGATATATCTAGATTTTATCCTATAAAAAGTTAAAAAGTATTAATGTAAGTAGCTTAGGAATTCGTATTAAATATATATACGGTGTAGTTTTCAAGTTATTTATTCGATATTTTAACTTAAAAGTTTTTTACAGCTCATACATAATCTCTACGGTTGTATACTGCTTTTTTGTGTGTTTCTCTACTGTTCCCAGCTATTCTCTCAAGTGAGTCGTTTATTACACTTGAATGCACATATGCTGCATTTGATGTCAGATTTCGATGTAATAACTATAACAGAACGTGAAACACAACAAGTGGATAGTAACATATCTACATCTCAACAGAATAATGTTCCACCTGAATCAACAGCTACAACACCACCACCAACAACAACAACCACAGCAGCAGCAACAACACCAATAAAGGAATCTCAAAAAGAGGATAGCGAAAAAAGAAAAGACCCAACTACTGAAGCTACACGCAAAGACTTGAAGTCTACGCCTCAGGCGAATAAAACTCCCCAACATGTATTAAGTGTTCCTGAGATGACTGATAGACGCAGAATAAGAGCACGCATCAATGTAGAGCCACCTGATGTAACTATTGTAGCGACATCGACGGATGAACAACCACGATTAGTTCGAAGTGAACATCCTACAAATAGTGTTAATTCATCGTCTGCACGGTAATTTTTTGTTTTTGTTGGTAACTTTTTTTATATTTTCATTTAATTTTTGTATTAATTTTTGAAGTAGTTGAACTGTCAATCACTGACCCAGCAATCATACTCTGATATATCTCGGCTCAGATTTAAGTGAAACCTGAAATGTTTTGCCCGTCTAATGTGTTTTTGCAGTGCTTTTAATTAGTCCAAAAATCCCATGTTAATTAGTGAATACAAGGGAGAAAAATTAATGGTTCACTGAGGAGAGTCTCTTCTGTCTTGTGTAGTTTTGTCGCCCTCTGATATATATATTCATCTTCCACTTCTAAAGATTTCAGTTTTAGTCAAAGAGAATAAAAGAAAGAAGTGATAGTGAGTAACATTCATTTTTTGTGGAAGCTAATGTTACAACCCTTCGGAAAAGATCAACAGAAGGGATAGGGTGGGGGACCCGTGACCCCCACTGTTTAAAAATTGAATTCCTTGAATCAGTTAGCTCTATAGCTCAATTGTTTGAGTTTAGGCTATATTTTGTTGGTTTACAGGGATTTGATTGGTTACAGGATTTCATCATGAGCTGACATCGGTTAGAGAACCATTGGAAAACCTGGAACTCTTCATCAGTACGCACCCACCGGGGTTCGAACCCTAGACCTGGTCGCACAATATTGTGAATTAGCAGAAGTTGGAATTCATGGGCTGCCATTGGATCGGGACCCAGTGGCTACTGCATGGTCTACGAGCTCGCTTGGCTTGTTACTTGCAGATCCTGTGTTTAAACCGTGTCGAGTGGATGCTTACTGATGAGGAGTTCCAAGCACTAGGACGAAACAGCTGTCCAGTACTCCCAGGTTTTCCAATGGCTCTCTGATGGATGTCAGCTGATGATGAAACCGTCTGAGCTATTGTGCACTTCTTCCAAAAGAAATTCGCAACATTAATCGAACGATTATTAAAACCACACGTTGAGTGACGCGTGAAATCCAAAAACAGGATTTGTCTAAAATACGGTACTATATTAAACATAAAATATGAAATATAATATGCAAACCTCAATTATGAGGTGTCTGTGGCAGAATGACGTCAAAATACCACAGTCAATATGACTCAATAAGTAAAAAAACAGCAGAGCTGTGTCAAAGGCGATCCACGTGTTATTCAAACAGCGCGCGAATGCCAGACACAGAAAAATAAAGAGATACGAATAAACAATGTTCAACAGTAACTAGTACATAAATAAAGCATATACAGCAGATAATGTTCCACTATAAGAAATTAATTACTATACATCAAGTAAAGCATGAATACACTAAGTGAGTCGTGTTTAAGAAGTAGAAAACCTAATCTTACTACTCACTAATGGTAAGTAGTATAAAGTTGAACACAAAAAAAGAAAGAGCAGCAAAGGACAGATGAGCGAGAAAAATTAACAGCTATGTTGTTTCATCTGTGTTTATCCTTGCTTGAAATTCACCACTTATATATATATATATATATATATATATATATATATACGAGAGAACTTTTTAAAATTTCATATGTTCATTGTTTACTTCACTCACTATGAGATGATTTTGTTCTGTTTTATTGTTTCAGTTTTCGAAGTCGATCAGCTTCAAACATACGCCGTTCTAATAATTCACAATCACAAAATGGTAAGTTTGTGAATATATGTGGTGTATATTAAACATAGTTAAAGGTACATTTCATTCTCATTATGTTGAATAACTTCCAGTTTGTAAAAGTCAAAATTCATGAGAACATTATTCAGGAATTTAATTGGTGGATGGTGATTAGCAGTGGAATCCACCAGGATGCGCATTTCGTCCTGTTTAGGACTCGTCAACTGGATATACCTGCATTTCTCAGTGAGTGATGATGTTCCCACCGAGGCTCGAATCCAGTGCCCATAGTTTCGAACGCCAAAGCATTATCCACTTCAGCCACGAGAGCCACCTCTTGTGCAACGGGTCATATTAATTTAATTGAATTTTAGATTTTCCCGTCGATTGATTGGACCGAAGTGCTCGGTCTACTAATTAAATGCCCAGACATCGTCGAAGCATCTGCACAAGAAGCCGACATGTCAACCTGAGACCGAGCACTTCGGTCCAATCAATCGACGGGAAAATCTAAAATTCAATTAAATTAATATCACCCGTTGCACAAGAGGTGGCTCTCGCGGCCCAAGTGGTCTAGTGGATAACACTTTGGCGTTTGAAACTATGGGCACTGAGTTCAAGCCTTGGTGGGAACATCATCACTGACTCATTGGGAAATGCAGGTACATCCGGATGACGAGTCCCAAATTGGACGAAATGCGCATCCTGGACTCCACTGCTAGTCACCATCCACCAATTAAATACTAATTAAATACCCAGACATCGTCGAAGCATCTGCACAAGAAGCCGACATGTCTACCTGGGACCGAGCACTTTGGTTCAATGGATCGACGAGAAAATCAAAATTCAATTAATTATTCTGGAATATTAAACTTTATATTACCAAGTCTTTATACCTTTTTTGTAGTATTGACGACTTATATCACATTCGTATTTTCCCTGCATCCATCTCTCTAGTTGGTTATATATATATATATATATATATATATATATATATATATCACAACGGTTCTAGCTACGCAGGATTTCAGTCCTAACTGTTATCCTGCTCAGTCTGTTGTTCTTGCCTTTGTTCAAGTTTATGAAAGGAAATAATTGTATCAAATTGACATAAGTAATTGAATATATAGGGAAGATGGAGGGGATGAAGTTGACCAACCAACACGAACAGCAACAACAACCGGGCACCAATCACCATCAACAGGAGAGATTTGACAGAGGTTACTCCCTTCCCAACAACAGAAGGCGAAACACGGAAGCCAAAGTATAATTTTTCATTAATCAAACGGCTGTTTAATATATATATATATATATTTATATATATATATATAGTTTATATTCTTTAACCAGTCACGGCGTGTGTGATTTCGGTTTACATCAAACGACAAAAAATAGAATGTACATAGTATTCTGTTGCCAATGCAGTATTAAACTGTGGGAATAAAAATACGACTCTAGCATCAAATATAATATTGAAATAGATATATCACGTCTACACAAGAGATGGCGTAAGTTGGCGTATACCAAACGGGCCTTCTGTATCCGTGCTGAGATTTCATCAGTGATCAACCCTTTGGGGGGCTGGCTGATGCAACTTCCCGAATAGGTGAAGTGGTGTCAACACGCTCCACCAACCACTTCACTCCCTATTTCTAAGTCAATTAGGAGTCAATATCGCCCAGTCAGTCCTGTGGCCTCATCATCTTACATTTGGCATCAGGAGCGAATCGCATGCCAACCATTCAATGATTGCTGCTCCTCAAGATGTTCAAAAGACTCTGCATTTTATCAGCCACTAAGAGTTTCTTGTTCACTACTTGTACAATAGAATTTTGTCATGACTTTGTTAATGTATACTGTAGCAATAAGGATATACAGTTTATAATTACGATAACAGCGCCTTACTCAAGCCTAGACTTCAATCAATACTTTTGTTATGAACGATTTTTTATCATGACACTGAGTAGTTTCATCAGCATTTAGACTTTTATAAAAATGAATTATAGAAGTTATAGAATGTCCACTGTAAATTATCAATTTTTAGACATATATACTTACTGTTATTGCATTAAAACCCAGAGGTAGTGGTTGTGGCGCCTATTTTTAAACTATAGGCGCTTAATAACCTTTTTTTAGAACTAAAATATGTATTATTATTATTGTTTCCTTGGGTTCCTAGTGGAACATAGGGCTTCAACTGCACGTCTTCACTTGCTTCTGTCTTCTGCTGTACTTTTCACTTGCATCCATGTTAGTCCATACTGTTTCAACTCCTCTTCACACGATCTCCTCCATGTCACCCTTCGACGTCTCACTCGCCGCTTCCCTTTCGGGTTCCACTCGAGCTATGGCCTGACGCGCGATGTCACCCAGCGGCCTCCTCAGCGAGTGTCCAATCCATCTCCACTTTCTCCTGCATATTTGTTGGGCGATTGGTTCTTGTTTTGTTTCTTCCCACAGTTTGTTTCTTCTTGGCGATTCTTTCCGGCCATCTGATTTTCAGTATAGAGCGAAGACAGCTGTTGATAAAGGTCTGCAACAGGCTGTTGGAAATATTCTTTGTGACACACTGGCCAAGTTTCTGATCCATCCGTATAGAAGAAGTGACTTGACGTCGTTTGTATTGAAAATCCGAATTTTGTTGTTGATGGTGAGTTGAGTGAGGAAGATTTCCAGATTGGTTTCAGGTTGATGAATGTGTTTCTCGCCTTCCCGATTCTCGATTTGACATCCTCGTCCGTTCCTCCTGTAGTTGAGACAATGCTCCCTAGATATTAGTGTTGAGCAACCGGCAGGAAGCCTTGTACTAGGTTTCGTGCTAGTTGGCACTCGTCAGCAAGGCGTATCTGCAACCTTGAAGGAACTTCCTAGATAAGTGAATGATTACTAGCTCGCTAGTTTTCTAGCCGGTCCCAAGCCCGGATAAAGAGGGAGGGTTGGGGCGTGGTGCTAGCAACTCCACCCCCAAAACTTAACCAAATTGCTACAGAAACTTCAACGCACAAATATATTAAAAATACTAAAATATGTAAATGTTGTTTAATTTATATCTCACCATTGTTTACTATAACTCACGCTTAATTATTAATTAATTATTTAATTAACTTTTATCTTTATATTTTCACAGTCCCTATTGTAACAAGTTCATCAGGTGTAGCCAATTCTGCAGTGACGACTACACCGCTAGGAAATGGGCGTACTGCTATTATTCATCGATTTGACATTCCAATTATATCAGTGAATACATTCAATCTTCCAGCTGCACCATTTTTAGCCTCTCTATCTTCATCAGCAACATCGACAACCCATACAACTGGGCCAACATCAGTGTCTTCTACTACAACGCGTACACCAACCACTACTACTACTGATTCACTACCAACTGGTCATGCTGCTAATGTAACTCTGCTTCCTCGTCCAACATTACCGCCTCCTCCGACTCCTTCACTATCGGTAATCGATTCATCGAATGATCAATTTCTGGTGTGCAGCTCGCGTCATTTTACACATGAAGTTATACACAGAGTGGCAACCACTCAAGGATTACTTGGACCACCGCCACTTACACCAATACCTGATGCTGGTAATGTCAATCGTCAAAATCAGACACAAACAACTACAGCGAATTCTACTGGTCGTAGTAATACTGGTCATACACTGCCTGGATTTTCTACTCATATTCCATTTTCTTTTGGAGAGTCTATACCACCAGTAAGCCATTTGTTTTTTTTGTTGTTGTCGAAATTGAATGTTTATTTTGAATAAAGAAGAGACGAACATATTTGCAGGATAATACAAGCTCGTTTCATTTCGTGGGTTCCGAGTGGAACATACGGCTAAAACAACACATCTCCACTTTGTTCTATTTTCTACTCTCCTCTTCAGCTGACTAGCCACTCGATTACCCATAATCTCTCATCTCCTCCTTGCCACACGATTTCTTCCGTGTCACCCTCGCACCGACAATCAACTCGTCGCTTCGCATTGGGATTCCACTCGAGCAATGGCCTGCAGTGAGTGCGGTGTCATTCGACGGCCTCCTCAACGTGTGCCCGATCAGTCCATCTCCATTTTCTCCTACACATTTGTCGGGCGATCGGCTCTCGCCTGTTGGTTTGTTCCCAGCCAGAGTTTCTTTGTGCTAATTCTTTCTGGCTGGCTGACTGGTCATTTGATCTTCAGTATAGAGCCAGCCAGTGAAGGTGGCAGCCACTGAGAAATGTCTGTAACTTGCTGTTGGAAATCCTTTTCGTGACACGCTGGCTAAGTTTCTCACCCGTATAGAAGAACTGACTGACTGACAGACTTCACATTTGTGTTGAACAGAATCCGAATCTTGTTGTTTATGCTGGCTGGTTGGTTGACTGAGTGCAGTGCATAAGATTTCCAAACTGGTTTCTGATTCTGGCTGGCTGGTTTTGACATCTTCATCCGTTCCAGTTGCCTGTGGTTGAAACGATACTTCCTGGCCAGATAAGTGAAGGAAGTAATCTCTGTCAAATGTCTCCCGCTGATGGTGATTGGTGCTGGTTGTTGTTGCCGTTGCTGTTGGTTGGTTGTTCCTCTTCATCACTTCAGTCTTCTCTATCTTCACTTGAAGTCCCGTCTTTGCTGCCAGCTTCTTGCCAATTTTCGCCTGTTGTAAGTCTTCAACTCTTTCGTCATGGGACATAAATCATCCACGCGCAAAATCCAGATCTTCTAGAATCTTCTTCTCACTCACTCCCTGTGCACAGTCTGACACGCATAATCCAGTCAGTCCACCAGCACAATTAAGAATATCATCGTAGGTGATAATAGACAGGCAGCCAGCCAGCTTGTCTCACTCCTGTATTCACTTTGAACGCCTCGCCTAGTTTTCCATTGTAGATCATCTGCCACCTGGCTCTGTCATATAACCAGCTGTTGAATTGAAGTTAATAAAGTCTTGGGCACTACACTCCGTAGTGTTTGAGGCATTTTCCCAATTACTTCTCCGTCAACGCTGTTGGTTCTCTTCACCTGCGTACATCCTTGATAAATCACTTATATGTTACAAAATTTCTGAATGTACTTTTTACAATGGTTTCAAGTTATAGATACAAAGTGTAAGTACCATAATTTCAAAGATAATATATTATTATATTATTGTTCCCTTTGGTTCCTAGTGGAACATAGGGCTTCAACTGCACATCTCCACTTGCTTCTCTCTTCTGCTGTACTTTTCACCTGCATCCATGTTATTCCATACTGTTTCAATTCCTCTTCACACGATCTCCTCCATGTCACCCTTGAACGTCCCACTACTCGCCATTTCCCTTTCTGGTTCCACTCGAGGGCTTGACGCACGATGTCACCCAGCGGCCTCCTCAGCTCAGCGAGTGTCCAATCCATCTCCACTTTCTCCTGCATATTTGTTTGGCGATTGGTTCTTGTTTTGTTTGTTCCCATAGTTTCTTGTTGGTTCTTGTTCTTTCTGGTCATCTGATCTTCAGTATAGAGCGAAGACTGTTGTTGATAAAGGTCTGCAACCTGTTGGAGATATTCTTTGTAACCTGCCGAGTTTCTGATCCGTATAGAAGAACTGACTGACTTGACGTCGTTTGTATTGAAAATCCGAATTTTGTTGTTGATGGTGAGTTGAGTGACGAAGATTTCCAGATTGGTTTCAGGTTTATGAATGTGTTTCTCGCCTTCCCGATTGTCGATTTGACATCCTCGTCCGTTCCTCCTGTAGTTGAGACAATGCTCCCTAGATAATATATATATATATACATATACATATATATATATGTATATATATATATAAAGAAGTAGGCAATTATTTAGTGTTCAGAGAGTAACTATTTATATAATAATCAGTAATAATTAGGGGTGGAATTCAGATTTTGCTTGGAAACAAGGATAGACTACAGACAGATTATAAGATAGGACAGCATACATATTATGGTCTGGTGGAGAGTTCAGGAGGGTGGGGGTGAATAGTAAAGTAAAATTATAAAATATATAAAATAATCAATTTAATACATTTGAAACTTTAATAGTGAGTTCAGCTCAGTGAGTGAAACTCAAAATCAAGATTGAGTGGAATGTTTAATATAATTGATTTATTTAGGGATGTACGCAGTTGAAGAGGCCGAGAGAGAGAATCCACGAAATAGAACGATCTGTTCATATTATCCTGCAAATATATTTGTTCTTTCTTTATTAAAAACTAATACAGGTAACCGGCTGGATAACTGAGTGTTTATTGCTGGAAATTTCTATTACGGTGTGAATGAAATAAACAACCAAAAATGCCTGTTTCCTTTTTACTGATGTCCAGTCTTCCTCAAAGTAATACTGTTGTAGTGTTGTCCATGTATATTAGTGAGAGAGACAGTGTTTTTAGATGCCGATAGATAATGGCAACAATTCCACACACCCCCACACACACAGTTCTTCGTTTCCTTTTATTTGTAATAGTTTTCATTTGTTTCATAAAGGGGGTGGGTGCATATATGAATTGTAATCTTTAGTTTATGGTGGTCATCGTTGAGGATCTTGTTATACGGTCTTATGGTTTTATTATGTCTTGAGCATATACATGTGTCATCAGAGGAGAGGGAGAACTAAAATTGTTGGCCTTACCATTAAGCTATTTGAGTTCTGATTAACTGTTTGACACCCATAAAAAGGGGAATAGGATTTTACTCTAAGGCTGGAAGTGTGCTTCACTTGTAAAACACTTGTAAGTTTGCGTCCAAGTTTTCTTGTCGGTTGATGTCTGATGTCCCACAGTAATAATCAAAGAGGCGTCGACAGCTCAGTAGTAAGATACTCGCCAACCAGGCAAATTGTCCAGGGTTCGACTCACTCCTCTCAGTTTAAAGAGGAAAGGGCTGGATGTGTGTGTGAGGTTAGCAACGTCACACCGTAAAAAGAAAACACCACTGCTACTGAAACTTCAAAGCCCAAGCTCGAAGCCCTTTGTGTTCCGCATGGAACGCGAATGAATGAAGTAATAATAATCATACTTACTTTCCTTATTCATCTGCTCTAGGTTCATTAAATTTCTCGAGTCTTCAATGCATCAAAAAGGTAGAGATTTTGTGTATTAACAAGTGTCCGTGTATAAGGTATCTTTAAGGTTGTCAAAGTGAAAAATGATTTTTCATGTGTCAGTGGGGTAGCTTACCTCTATGCTCATTTTCTTTACGAGAGAGCAGTTGCAAAGTTCGTCTATATCAACACTTATGTGACACTTGACAATATGAGTTCTGTTTTTTCAGCTGGTAGTATTACGCATCCTAGGCACCTGTTTGTTCTCATACGAAAGTCGTCGTCATCTGGGTGGGTATAACAGCTCTTCATCTTAATGCTCGCGCTATGATTTTCTATCAGTACGAATATAGTCAATAATGTCACAACGTGTTACGTCATGTCAAAAATATCTTTTTTTCTAATGGAGTGGTGAACCTCAAAGTTGAGAAGCGGGGAGTACTCAATGTCTAATAAATCACATTTTTCCAAATCAAAGGGGTTTTATTACTAACTGGATTCACTAGACTTTAGTCAGGTATGTTAAACATGGATGTCTGTTGCACACGGAGAACTTCTGTCACTACTACCGAATTCGTGTCCTGCTGTGACTGTGATGTTTAGTCCAGTTTTTTTGACAGGAAAGGTTAGATTTAATTCCAATTCTAGGAAATATATATGAGAGTTAAAATAATTTGGTGAATTGTGACCAACAGGGGAATCCAGGGGAATGCCCATTTCGTCGTATTTGGGGCTCATCAGTCTGATGTGCCTGCATTCCCCAGTGAGTGAATGATGTTGTTCCTACTGAGACTCGAACCCAGTACCACCTACCGTTTAAAACGCCATGGAGCGGTATCCACTAGACTGATTGGGGGCATGAGAACCATCTCTTGTGTAACCGGTGTCAGTTATAAATTAATTTTTAATTCAACTTGGATTTTCCCGTTGGTAGATTCGACCGAAATGTTCGGCCTCAGTTGATGCGTTGGCTTCTGGTACATACGCTACGATGATGCCTGATGATTAACCTAAAATAGTTTGATAAGTGGTGGCTAATGGTGAAACCCAAGATGCGCATTTCGTCCTATATGGGACTCGTCAGCCCCCCCTTCCACACGAAAGTTTCTCATATTAATCCTCAGGCATCGATGAGGCCTGTACGTACTAGAAGCCGACAGGTTGACTGATGCCGAATAATACGGTCCAATCAATCAACAGGGAAATCAAAACTGAATTAAAGAGTAATAAAAAAAAGAGTTAAAATACAGTAATTATGGTAATTAAAAAAAATGTTTTCGTGTTAATTCCTTCACTGTTTAGACAAGTGTTCCAAATAATTCATCTACAACAACAGCAAACACCGGCAGTACAGAAAGCAGAACACCTGGAGCAGCAACATTCTCTTTCACTTCAGGGATTAATTTACCACAACAGCTTTTATCGCTTGTTACTGCGGCTACAAATGCTGCTGTCTCTGCTGTGAGCAGTGATCAATTCACTACTGGTGGTATTGGTGCTTCTGGTACTTCACCATTCAGTTTTCTTGTCTCCTCATCACCAATCCAATTCACTGTAAATGCATCACCACAACAGCCTACAGCGACAACGAGAACAACAACAAGTGCCGCCACTGGTGCTGCTGCTGTGACATCGAATAGCACTTCTGCTTCTTCAGGTGCCAATCAAGGAGTTGATTCACGCGCTCAAACAACAACAACAGCAACCACGACGTCAGCAACACGTACATCTTCAAGTAAGATGTGTTTTTTTGTAAATGATCAGTCAGTTTAAAGATTTTTTGGCAGTTATCAGGTTTTTATTTAGACTAAGAAGGATGTGTCACACAGTGTCATCCTTTCCTTTTAACAATTTCTATTTAATCAGTGTGTTACTTATTTTTCTTTTTTTGCATGTTATTCGACCACTTCACTCTTTTTGTAAGGTATTTTTGAAAAAAATAACTTAAATAACTTGCACTGACTGACCCACTGATTGACTGGGATTGTTTGTAGGAAGTCGATTTTTTTTCAAGTTTGATCACTAGCTGGCATCTGTTGAAGAACCATTAAAAAAAACTAAGGAGTACTGGACAACTATTTCATCCTAGTTCGCGACTCGTCGTCAGAACGTACCCATCAGGGTTCGATTCCAGTAGTCCTTTAACTGGTAGTTAGCTCGTGATCAAACTTGAGAATTAATCTGATGCGCTTGTTAGTGGGTGACTGGCTACAGGACGACGAAGTTGCGTGGAGTTCTAGTGATAAGTCGTAACCAGTGGGGTCCATTAAGTAAGTCAGTTTACTCAGGTTACTCACCGATGACTTTGGCCGGTAGTTGTGCTAAAATCACGAAGTGGTAGTGTAACAACAGAAGACAAGGGCCAGGAAACAGATCGTTTATTAAGGAAATCAAAGCATATTTATATATTTTCATGTACATTATTATTGATTAGTTAAGCAAACAAACACAGCCTTCTGATTGGTGGTTGTTTCTCACTTAAAGTTAATCTTTCATCTCTTTGTGACTGTTTCTTGACTGTCAGATCATCTATATGTTAACTATATCTGCCTACGCAAAGTCTGCTGTGGTCGGTTTTGAATCAGTCTTTGTTCATATTTTCTCACGACAAATCTTGAGAACGTAAACATTGACGTAAATTACTGTCTACCGATTTGGCTAGTAGACAGCTCTCACCACATTCGTCCCCCCGTCAAAGACTTGCGACTGAAGTTGGTTCGGTCTTCTTGGTTCTTGGGGCTTTGCTCTTTTGTCTTGCTGTCTGGAATCTCGGTGCTCGCTGATGTTCACCTGTTTCTCTGTGTTTACCATTGCGATTGTGTCTGCGTAACCCCATCTCAACGTGACCATATATGGTCCTTCCCACTTTGGAAACTGTTTGCCTGACCCTGTCGCACATTCGTAGGTATTCCGCCTCACACTTTCATATGCTGCTTTCTCCCGACCTCCCAGTAGCGTCCCAAGTAGCAGCCTCATCGCTGACAGATGTTGAACGCCACTCAACTGTGAAGAAGCCTCGAAGTTCTGCCCGAAGATCCATATGTCTCCATCAAAAGCTGTAGGGCATAGGCTTTCCATTTGTCGGTGCGCAGCGACACCAAATGTAACAACAGAAGACAAGGGTCAGGCAACAGATCGTTCATTAAGGAGTCAGGATTCATGTACTGGCTATTGGATCGGGTTTCAGTGGCTGATGAATGGTCTACAAGCTTGATTTGTAGGCGGAAGTTCCTGGGTCTGAACTCCGGTTGGCGAGTGCATACTGCTGTGCGTCGGTGGCACAGTGGTTAGGACTCTCACCGACCATGCACATGGTCCGGGGTTCGATCACCTGCCGATGCACACCTGATATCTATGGTCGGCCTGCAAAATTTGGGCTACCGATATCGCATGCTGAAAATTCCATACTTGTACCAAAAAATACGGTGTAGAATTAAAGCTTTCATAAAAAAAATAAAACTAGGACGAAGCAGCTGTCCAGTACTCGCCGGTGGTGGTTTTCTCTGTTTCTCTAACTGATGTCGGCTTGTGATCGATCAAGCCTGAAAGAAATCAAACCGCGCTACAAACCCCTAACTATTGAGAATTCAGACAATTTAAACATTCATACAAACACACATGTCAAACACACATTTTACACTTGCTTATATCACAAATTTTTGATAATTCTGTAAACGGATATTCCTGATGAGAATATATACATCTGTCTGTTAGGATATGAAAAAGCAGTCGATCTAACTTAACACTGGTTTTTAAAATAGGTGGGTACCATTAGATGTTGTATGCTGTGAGTGTCAAACAAAGGTGTGTTAAGCATTATTTTCTTGCTTCATAGCATGAACTGTCAAACGACATTTGATTGTACGCTTTGAGTGTCCATTACCACAGTGGTTGATTGGACGATATTAGGTAGATCTATGTAGAAGATCCTTCAGTTTTGCTATATACACTATTATCAATATGGTAAAAACTCGAAGGGAAGCATGCCTAAAATAGTGGTTGTTATACTTGTAGAGGACACTATCGTTATCGTACTATTTTTTACTCTTGAAGTTCATCATCACTGCCATACTTTGTAAGTTACATACTGTCCCACCTTTCCACTATATAACATCATCGGCTTTAGATATTGCTTCTCTCCATTGAAAGTGGAAAACATGAAAAGGCTGGCTAGCTGTCTGTGATCATATGTGTCTGCGTTCTATCTCCCGTGTTGAGTGGTATAATAAGATGAGCAATATTGAGGTTAGGCATCGGTTGAGTGCTAGGTAAGCAGGGGAAATCAATCGATGAGCTTGTGAAGTTACACCTATTGGGATGGTTAGGACATGTGTTACGTATGCATGCCTAGCCATCGCCTTCGTCGACCGACAGTCAATGTTAACTGACATAGGATGGATCAGGTTGGAAAAGACCTAGTGGTGGTGGTCAAACCAAAATCAACATGGCTTCATCAATCAATGAAATCCACAACAGTTAGTTTAATCCAGCCAGCCACGTAGGGAGGTGTACACTGCTGTCTGGTTGGTTGGGATCCTCGGGATGGTAAAAACCAATGAAGACTGGAGACAACTGGTGGGTGATATGGCTCAAAATCCTTGTTCTCAATGGCTGGCGCAGATGCATCAACTCTTTGTGATTTACAATATCGAATAAAATTCTATTGTTCTTCGATATTACTATTCTTTCTGCCTCATATTTCTGTTGATTATCTCTCTCCTTTGAATCTCTATTTACTCTTTTCTCTTGCTTTGTGGGCTACATGGAAGGAAAGCGGCAATTTGAACTGCTGCACATCTGTGCAAAGGTCATACGTTGAAACCAGTTATTCAGTCAGTCTCTGCCTTCAACGTTGAAAGTGTACTGATATACTACTACACGTCAGATAACAGCTATCCTGCAATGTAATTGTGGTGATGTCTAACCTGAAATATTGTAATGACATCTATTTTGAAATTTTTTTCTTCTTTCTTGTCCCCTAAAGAAGTCGTTTCTCGCGTCACACCGTCTTGGGCAACAGCTGATGGAGTCGCTGAGCAGCAGTTACAACTTGATGGAATATTTCGAATATTCAGTGTAATTATCGATGGTCTTATTAGAACTGTATGGTCGAGGGTTTCTCAGTCTTCTGCAAATCCAATTCCTGCCTGTCAATGTAAGTTAGCTGTTGTTGTTTTTTTCTTCTTCAAATTTATACTCGAATATCTATTTTAAAAGACCTACAACAGAACAAACCATTGAATATTATATTTTTTTATAATAAAGGTTTTTGTATTTCCCAATGAATGAAAAACAAAACGATATTATTGTTTTCACTGACGTTCTGCTATTTAATGCTAATAGCTTTATCAAAGTGTCAATATTAAACCGGAATTTACAAAATTTCCATATAGAACAGAGCCGTCAGACAATATCAGAAGAGTACTCAATCAGCTCGACATTAGAGTTTTCTTCAAAACATCAGACACACTACTAAACAACCTTGTCCATATAAAAGACCGAATCCCTAAAGATTCTCTATCTAATTGTGTCTATAAAATAAAATGCTTGCTTGGAATGTGATGCGATATACATCGGACAAACATCACCAGAGATAAATCAAAATCAGAAGAAATGAACACCGTAGAGCATCTGTGTTGGACCACCAAGGAATAAATCCAGTTGAACTAGGAAAACTTGGAAAATATAACGCTATAGAATCAGGTCACAAAATAGATTTTGACAATATTGAAATCATCATCCAGAAAAAACTTCAGAAATCACAAAGAACGTCTGATATCGTTGGAAGCACTTCATATCAAGTGGAATCCAAATTGTCTGAGCTGAATAGGAATGATGGACTAAAACAGAATCTGACCTGGTTACAACACCTCCCTCCCCTCCCCCATGAAGTGACAAAATCAACACGAATGTGATAAGCACTTTCATTATGTAAACACACACTGCCTTTATAATTTTACACATTGATCAAATCCAACAATCTACACTTGGTTTTGTTATTTGACCAATTTGACAACGAAAAATGACCCCAGACTGACGAACGATGATCAAGTTAGTAAACTTTGTTTTGATTTCATAACAGACATACTATTACCTTTGTTATTTGGTTTAGTGATCTTCATTGTTATTTTGACTTTCAATATGTCCTTTTAACTTGACCTAAGTAGTCTATTTTCTCACCTCTTAACTCTTTGTTACATATATATGCTGAGATTTTGTAAATTCTGGTTTAATAATGCTACTCTGATAAAGCTATTAGCAGCATTAAATAGCGAAACGTCAGTAAAAACAGCGATATCGTTTTGCTTTTCATTCATTCATTGGGAAATACAAAAACCTTTATTATAATGAATATCATATACCCAATGCCCACATTTTTTCAAACTGTTAAAAGTGAACTTGGTTTGGACATATATATATATATATATATATATATATATATATATATATACATATATATATATATGTATATATATATATATGTATGAATAATATTTTTATTTATATCTTTTGTTCAGGTGTAACAGATCAAAATAGCAGCAGTACATCACGTCATCAAAATATATCCGCTGGATTATTAAATGATATTCTTAATGCTGTTCGTGGTGAAGTTCACGCCTCCACAGATACTGATGTCTCTGGTCATGTTACGGCAGCTGCATTGGATGGTTTACGTGATCATCTACAGCATTTATTATTGTGTGCTGATTCAGTGACAGGAAGCAATCAATCTGAACTAGTTAATTCTCTAGTCAGTACTATTTTTAGAGGTCGACTATCAGATGCTTGTCACAGTGAATATACAATGTGGATAAACAGTCTTGATGAAAATTCCTCTCAAAAAATGATTGATGTTACTGCGTCGTTTGCTAAATTATGCAGGGTAAGCTACTGTTAAACCCCTTTTTCTTTTTGAAAATTTTTATCTAAGTGACTCATGGATTGGTTGATTACCAGGGTTGGTATGCAGAGGATATAGTCCATCTAGGTGAACACCCTGAGCAGAAATCTTGATATGCTGCTACAGCACTGGACTACGTCAACTCCTATCTTAGTGATAGGGAGTGAAGTGATAGAACATGTTGACCACTTCACCTTAGAAGTTCGCTCCGTCCTTCTCTATGGCTCTGAAACATGGCCAATACGAGTTGAAGACATGAAAAGGTTGACTGTTTTTGATCATAGATGTCTACGATCTCTTTCTCACGTTAGGTGGTATAATAAGGTAAGTAATGTTGACGTCAGGCGTAGAATGTTGGGCAAAGAGGGAAAATTAATCGACGAGGCTATAAAGTTACATAGATTGAGATGGCTAGGTGACGTGCTGCGCATGCGTAACCATCGCCTCCTCCTCCTGACGGGCATTACTAGCTGACATAGGTGCAGGTTGGAAAAGAGTAAGTGGTGGCCAAACAAAAACATGGCATCAATCCATGAAATCGTTGACAGTTAAATTGAGTCAGGTAGAGAGGGGGATGCAGACATCCGGGTTGGGGCCCGCCCTCGAGACTCTAAGAATCAATGGCTGGAGACAATAGGTGACATGGCTCAAAATGGTTGTCAATGGCTTACGCAGATGCATTCAGTCTCTGTAATCTTTCATGTTCCTTTCTATCACTACTCATTCCGTTTCACTTTTATACTTGTCAAAACTCTATTGATTCTCTTCACTCATTTTCTTGTCTACCTTTGTGTGCTATTTGGAAGGTGGCAACTCGAACTGCTGCACTTCAGTGCCAGGTTCTGTGTTGAATCCAGAGAGAGAGAATCTTGATATGTTTAGCATGATATTTACTTGTCCCCCACTACTCTTATCATCAAATGTAGGATAGTGTTTAAATGTAGGCATTGATGAGATGGTTTCGCGTGTTGACCACTTCACTTTTATGGGAAGTTTCATCAGCCGTAATGAACTGATTGTTGACGAAATCTGAGCACGGATACAGAAGGCTCGTTTGGCATTTGCTAACTTACGTTATCATAAGGGTAGACGTAATAAGAGACTATTGATTTTAAACGACGTGTGTATTGCTCAGCAGTCCGTCTTTATGACTATGAAACATGGCTATTTGAAAGTGGAATATATGAAAAGGCTAGTTGTCTTTGATCGTAGGTGTCTGCAATCTATCTCCCCATGTTAGGTGGTATTATTGAGGTTAGACGTCGACGGTGAGGTAAGGATTTCCCTCCTTGTCAAGCTGCATCGATTGGGGTGGCTAGGACCTGTGTTACTCATGCACTAGCCATTGCCTTTCTCATCGATTAATGTTAGTTGACATATGATTGATTAGGTTAGAGCAGGGTTATGGGTGGTCAAATCAAAACTTGTCATCATTCGGTGAAGCATTTGACCATCGTTTCCAGCCACTCATATATGAAAGTGTAGAACTACCTGATTGGGGTTGCTGAGGTGCTGTGGACCCAAGGCGACAGTCATCTATCTGCTTACACGTTTATACCGTCTTCCTCTTAAGTTACTTTTTCCATGTGAACATCTAATTACTAATAAAATCCCGTATGATTATTCTTCCCTACTGTGCTATATATTGGGGCGTGACAACTTGTAACACTATGCTGTTTATAGCGTCTTCCATATTTATTCTATGTAGGATATGTATATTTCACAGTGGATTGCTTATGGCTTTAAGCAATTCTGTTGGGGTTTATCATTAAATATTTTGCAGGAATTTTTACTTACCAGTTCTGATGCTTTATCAAACATCTTACAAAAGTTTATGGTATTTAATAGTTTGAAATAGGATTCAGTTTAGGCGTAAGCAATCTCCTTTACCTACCAACATGGGAAGAATCGGACGGAACTGATGAGGATATCAAAGCGAGGATTAGTAAAGCAAGGCAAGCTTTCATCACTCAAGTCTATGTAGAGATCAACAGCACTCTTCAGCGTGAAAAATAAGATCCGGATTTCCAACTCCAGTGTGAAGTCAGTGCTACTTACTATACGGATCAGAGACTTGGCGTCACGAAGGGCACTTCATACAAACTACAGACCTTCATCAACAGCTGTCTTCGCTCAATACTCTCAAGATCAGATGGCCGGCCAAAAAAGATCAGCAATAGGGAGGGATCTCTGGCAATGAGCCTACCAACCAAAGGAACTAATTGTGCAAGAAATATGCAGGAAGAAATGGAGGTGGATTGGTCATACTCTGAGGAAACAAACCATTAAATGACATGACACAACAGGCTCTCGAATGGAACCCGAATGGGAAACGACAAGTTGGTCATCAGTGCGAGGGTGACATAAAAGAGGTCATGCTAAGAGGAGATGAAAGAGTTTGAGCAGACGTGGAGCCAGGTGAAAACGTTAGCGGAGAACCGAACGCCATGGAGACGTGCGGCTGAAATCCTGTGTTCTTCTAAGAACTAAAGGAAACAATAATAATGATTAGGCGTAGTAATGTGGTGCAGTTGCGGACGTTCTCATTTTGAATACGCATTTTGTGACACGACTGTTGAAAAATAACAACTGATCATTTGTGAAATGTAATGTATAGTCGGGAATTTAGTATCGACCGAGGCGCCTGCTATCGAAAATCGCCATCATTATATTTGCTTATAATTTCTCTTGTTCAATTTATTTTCATCTAAAATAGACCTCTAATGGTATTATTTTATTTACCCTCGCGAGTATTTAAAATGTTTATGACCTTCTCTGGTTGGCTAGTTTTTGCTAAACTTGAAAAAAAGGAAAATTGTGGGTGGTTGGCAACATATGAGAAAAATTGTCCCCGATTTTATGTCCTCCTATTGAGTCTCAAAAATTGTACTCATGAACTTTTTATAATTAGCTATCAAGCAAATATCATGCATTTCTCGAAGGAGGGAGGCGTGCAAAGAAGAGATATCACATGGGAGATTGGTTTACTCTTCAGGTCACGCTATCTACTCTACTGTTAATAAATATTTTATCAGATGAACCTGGACAAAGAGGAAACTATCATATGCAATAAACTTTGCTGGAAATGGTGTGCTGTCCGGAATAAAGCTATTATTATTATTAGTATTATATATTTTTTTTTTACGAGTTGATCACGGACTGATATCAGTTAGAGAACCATTGAAAACCAGGGAGTACTGGATAGCTGCTGTTTCATCCTAGTTTAGGAATCATCGTCAGTACGCACCCACTGGGATTCGAACCCGGACATTCCAGTTACAAGGCAAGCTAATATACCATTCAACCACTGGGACCCGATTCAATGGCCAGTCCATGAATTCTAACTTCTACCAATTCGTGATTTAGCGTGATCCCAACCATTGTCGTTGGTGGGACATCCATCCACACACGTGACATCTAATTGGACCTCACTGGTCACGACTTCTCACTAGAACTCCAGGAAGGTCCTGGGTTCGAATCCCAGTGGGTGCGTAGTGCCGGTGATTCCCAAGCACTAGGATGAAGCAGCTGTCCAGTACTCCAGTGCTGGTTTTCAATGGTTCTCTAACTGATATCAGTCCGTGATCAACTCGTAAAAAAACATAACAAACCCTTACAAACCAAACTATAGAAAATTATTATTATTATTTAATTTGTGGAGATATAATGATTGTGTAACCTTTGTATATTTCATATGTATTTATACATATATATATTTGAACTCTCCTCCAGTACATTATTTCTTCTCAATTGGATTTATGGAGAGCTAGTCCAACAAATACTGGATTCGGTAGTACCCTGTTAATGACACTGAAAATAGCCTGTACAGATCTTCTCTGTTTAGCTGATCTACTGACAACTCGTCTTGCATCTAATTTAAAAATTGAATTATCAAAAACATCTAAGGGTTCAGGAGAATCTCGAAGTCAAATATTTGGCATCGGGATGGGTTTTGAAACATTGATGGAGCATTGTAATTCATTTTTACAAGATATTGAAGGTAGGTGGGTGAATTTTTTTTTTTTTGAAAGGAACGAGTGTCGTTCTTTTTTATAATTCTTTTGTTTTTGATGTAATCACGTGCGACTTAGTCAAAATAGTGAGAAGTGAGCATCAATCAGTTCGCTTTTCTTAGACACCGTGTTCAACAATGTGTCAGTTTTCTTGTGGATGTTTCAGGTTACTATACCCATTGATATAAGAATAGAACTTGTACACTGTGGTTGAGTATAATTCCATTGTGGGTAAAATTTATTTTGATGAAGTCTCACAGTGGTATGCAGTAATATTTACTGATGATTACGTTTCGAATACAATTTATTGCTGCTCATAATCATATCAAGACACTACTCACACAACTTTTTAACTTCGTTTATATAATTCCATTATTTTCCATCGCTTGATTTGATTGGTAGTAGTATTTTCCATATTTCCGGTATGAGTGATGAGTCATTCCTATTGCATGTGTTGGGTGTAGACTTGATGAACAAGGATTCAGTAATCAACCTCTCTCTCCATCTGTCTATATTACTTTTTAGAACTTTAACTCTGCCCTAACCTATTGTGTGTTAAAGCATGCAGTGCTATTGCTGAGTTTTTTTTTCTAAATTACCTATCTTTGTGGGATCCATCATTCTAACCTTAGCTAAATTCTTATGTTTCGACAATCTGACTATCCCCGACCTACTTGTTTGACCTATGTAGTTAACCGAACTCATAGTCATTGCAGGGTGTTTTGTAGATTATATTATTTTGTTTAATTGAGCCAACCTACAGGGTCCTTTAACCTACAGAACTTGTTTGTGAGTGAGCTTTTAGGTTTAAATGATACCCTAAAACCTGCTCTATTAAGAATCCTATGTAGGGAGGGTCTCAGATGTCCCCTCCTTATATGGTATAACACTAGATGCCTTATATTCTCTCTTATTTATGTTATCATTATTAGTTTCACCATTATTTTTATTTTGCTTTTGACCTTTTTTGATCTTCCTAATGAATTTTATAGGATAGTTAGTTATTTAACACTAACCAGCTTCTATCTGCTTCATTTCATCGTTTAAGTTTTTTGTTGTACTACTTAGTGTTATTACTCGGTTTCTTAGACACTTAACTATGCCTGCCTTTACAGACAACGAACGGATAAGATGAATTAAAGTCTAAATATCTATTAGAATGCTTGAATTGAATACTACTACCAATCAAATCAAGCGAGGAAAAATAATAGAATTATATAAACGAAGTTAGAAAGTTGTGTGAGTAGTGTCTTGATATGATTATGAGCTGTAATAAATTGTGCTCGAAATGTGTTCATCAGTAAATATTACTGTAAAACAAAATAAATATATCAAAATAAATTTTACCCACAATGGAATTACTATACCCACACATTTAAAATCCCAGCAGCATTTAGCTGCTACTGAAAACTCTGTTCTCACTTATGTGAGTGCGAATTTCCTGTGTTTATCACTAGTAGTGTACAGTAGTAGTCTCATATTCTTGGAATGCAGAAAACTCTTCTTTCAAATTAATATACACATAAGAGAACAAGTATCTGAAAGCGAATAAACTGGTTCGTCTTAGATATAAGAATAGAACTTGTGCACTGTAATGGTAGAGTATAATTCCATTGTCGGTAAGATTTATTTTGATAAAGTCTCACAGTGTTGTTATACAGTAATATTTACCACTGATGACCACGTTTCGAGTACAATTCATTACTGATCATAATCATATCAAGGCACCACTCACACAACTTTCTTGCTTCATTTATTATACATGAGTAAAAATTGATGATTAGACATTTAAATAAAATCAATATAAGATAAAGTACATTCGGAAATAATATTATTGTTATGAATAAAATACAGTAACATGGGAAATAAGATGTTTTTATAGTAAAATAAATAAATAACCTGTTAGTATGTGAATTGAATACATTTTAACATTATTTATTATCCTCCTCTGATTTGACTGGTGGTAATAATATCTTCCATACCTCTGGTATTTGCGTTGAGTCACTTCTATTGCATGTGTTGGGTGTAGTAGGCTCGAAGAACAAGGCAGGATTCAGTAATCATTCTCTCTCACTCTCCACCTCCCTATATTACTTCTTAGAATTTTGACTCTGTCCCACCCTATTGTGTGGTTAGTGCATACAGTGCAATCGCTGAGTTTTTTCCCTAAATTACTTATCATCGTCGAATGATTCTATCCTTAGCTAAATTCTTATGTTCAGATAATCTCACTACTCCTGCCTGATCTACTAGTTTGACCTATGTAGTTGACTCAACTCACAGTGATTGAAAGGTATTTTGTAAATTATATTATTTTGTCTAATTGGGTCAACCTACAGGGTCCTTTAGCCTACACAGCTTGTCCTACCTGAGTGAGTTTGTAGGTTTAAATGTCACCCTAAGTCCTACTTTATTACGAATCCCAAGTAGGGTTTCAGATGTCTCCTGCTTTATTAGAATGGTTAGAATGATTGACCCATCGAAGTAATTTAAAAAACAAACTCAGCAATTGCACTGCGTGCATTAACAGGCAACCATACAATAAGGTAGGACAGAGTCAAAGTTCTAAAAAGTTATATAAGTAGATGGAGAGAGAGAGAGAGATTGATTACTGAATCTTTGGTCATCGAATAATCTACACCCAACACGTACAATAGGAATGACTCATCACTCATTCCGGAAATATGGATAAGAAATATTAATACCAATCAAATTAAGAGATGAGAAATAGTAGAATCACATAAACGAAATTGGAAAGTTGTGTGATTATTGCCTTGATATGATTATGAGCAGCAATAAATTGTGCTGGAAACGTGATCATCAGTAAATATTACTGTATAACACACTGGCTTTTTTACTCGTATTAATTTAGGTTGCAAGTCAGAAGCTTCAGAAAGTGATTCACCTATGATTATGACAACCAGTTGGCTTGGTTGTGGAACGTCTGGGCAGTAACACACACGCACCTCACGTAGAACACATATAGAGAACACCATGCTGCGATAGATGCATTCATCTCGGTTACTGTAGGTAATGGTACTTTGGGATCCAATTTACCTCTAGACCCTAAACCTTAAAAACCATAACCCTACCTAACAGAGAAAGTACCTAGAGAATACGTACCCTTTGAGTCCAAAGAGGCGTGAATTGATTTGGAATGACCTTTTGTAGTGTTCCCTGTATCTGATTGGTTCTAGAAGGTCAACTTTTGAAAGACCTTGGGGCTTTGGCTATGATACTTTACTTTCACCGTTTCGCGGTAGCAGTAGTTTTATTTTTACACCATTGGGTTGCTAGCCTGACGCGCCCAACCTCCTCCTCCTTTACTGGCTTAGCGAGGTTTAGGAGTGTGTCGGCTGACAATCAATCCTCGGACCACGTGTGGCGTTGTTTTTCAAGCGCTTCTACCGATAAATCACTGACCCACAACTTCTGTCGCACACATGTCTAATTCATAATTTTCAAATGTTTTTGTGTTTGTTTGTAGATGATGAATGCTTCGACTTAGGTCATGATTTTGTGACAGGTCTTAACAACTGCATTCAAGCCTATTGTGATATGGATGAGGCTACAATTCGTGCAAAAGTGGCACATCAAGTATCTGCGTATATCGAATTCAGAAAACTACAAATGCCTTCACCTATGCTGGTTGATCCTGTTAGTTCCAAGATTTTGATTGTAATTCTCCTTTTTTTTTAAAAAATTAACCGTTTTAAAAGTGGTTTTATTTTTTAATAAAACATTCAAGGGAATTTGAACAAAACAAAGTCTGTAGATAGCAGTTGCATAGGTTGAAATAAGTAATGTTATCTCAGGAAAAACCATTCATTCCTGATATGGTCGTTGATTCGCTAACCCTCACCAAGGTATTAAGCTGAGAAACTACATCTTCTCACTCTACATTTGTATGCTGCTATCGTTTATACTACTCATCTCGCGCTGCATTTTGTAGTGCGATAATCAAGTATCCTGTCTAAATGGGTTCAAGAACATTATCCTGCATGTCTGGCAGGAAGGTAGTAGTGGTTCTACAGGGAGTGCGATAATCGAACACCGTGTCAACAGTAGTCGCTGCATCTGAAAAAAAAACACCTCCTTCAGAGTAATCTACAAGGTGAAGAATAATCTGCCAAAGGTAATGCGCCTCTGTCACTTTTGGATTTCTGAACCTTTAGCTATGCATACAAAAAGAAATTATTTTACCACTCCTGTAGCACCCTGGGTAAGAACCTTGATAATTTCTACTGTTTTGATTCCAGTTGGCGGCCTGCTTAAAACTTGGGTTACCACAATCCTCCATCTCTCTATTCCATACATTTTCTCTCGTTCGGTTTGTTTTAATCGATTAAGATATGACCTCTAATGGTATTATCTACTCTTGTGTGTCTTTAAAATGTTGACAAGCTCTTGTCTGATTCGCAAGTTCCTACTAAACTTGAGAGAAGGCCCGATTGTGGGCGGCAACGTGTCACAATACATGACATAACTGTTCTTCAATTATGTCCTTGGGTCTCAAAATGTACTTCTGAACATCTTACAATTGACTTTTAACTAGATCGATATCGTGGATTTCTTGAACGAGATACAAAGCATATGTATCATCATAATGGAATGGTTTGTGCTTCAGCTCAGAGACCATTGTGTCACGGGATATACTGTCAATTGATTAATATTTTACTTGAAGATATTGTACGATGCAATAAACTCCTCTGGAAATTCTGTACATTTTATAAATACTGCCCAGAATAAATATATGACAATTATTAGAACTTCTACGTAGTCCCATATTTTCTTTCGTTTCCATGTGCACCCTGATTACAACTCATTAAATTATTCATCCTATTACGTAACTCTGGTAAATTTATTCAACTCCACTTATACACTGATTGACCAATATTAACAATCATCATGCTTGTGACAGCTCATCACTTTTTTTACTATCCTCTTTCATGAGATGTGATTGTACAGGTAAAGAGTAAATGAATTTTCAAGTATTGGTTTGTAGGGATTGTGTTTGATTTGTTGGAGGGTTTCATCATGAGGTGACATCAGTTAGATAGCCGTTGGAAAACCACCAGGGAGTACTGGATATTTGTTTCGTCGTAGTTTGGGACTCTCTTCATCAGTAAGCACCCCCGGGATTCGAACCCAGAACCTTCTGGCTACAAGGCAAGCTTGTAGACCATTAAGCCACTGAGACCCGATCCAATAGCCCATGAGCTAGCAGTTAGGATTCCAGGGCCATTGGATCAGGTCCCAGTGGCTTAATGGTCTAGGAGCTTGCCATGTAACCAGACGGGCCTGGTTCGACCCCCTGTGATGGGTGTGTACTTCTGAAGAGTCGCAAACTACGACGAAACAGATATGCGGTACTCCCATGTTTTCCAGTGGTTCTCTTCAGAAATAACTGTAGTCGATTGAATGTAATGTGAAATTGTCAAGTGAAACTACTAATTGCATTTGGTCTCTCCTATCATAAACTGTACTTCTCTTAGATTTGCCAAGCCCTTATTATTTTGATGATAGCAATTATTATAATCTTGCAGTAATGAAGACATAACTTCACTTTTCTCTGATCCGAGGTTTTTCTGTTTTACTTTCTTTCTTAGTCAAATGGTGAAATTCAACGGAACAACTTCTGTGATGAAGATCTACACGGAGATGATTTACCATTTTTAGATGCTTATTCTGATCCACCTTCTGATGAAACAAACCATTCCGCGCCTATTTCACAACAATTGTCCACTCCTGCTCTCCTCCTAGTACTACTACCGCATCAAAGGAAAACAATAAATTCCCGTCTAGTCAGCTTAAAGTACAAGCGAAAATATCCGCTTTACCTGATTGGTCACCAAAACCAGGTGAATTACCGAATTCTAAATTAGCTGCTCTTGATCCTAATCCAAATTCCACACTGTCTATGGACGAGGCTACAACAAGAGACAGTAATGAAGCAGTAGCAGCAGAAGGCTGGCATGCTGTTTTACCTCCTGCATGGATTCATGTTGTCACTGGTGATATGTCCACTATGTCACGCAATCCTCCAGAGTCGGATGATCCTAATCAATTTGGACGGTTTAGTGATGGATATATCGCTGGAATGCCTGCCAAGCGACGAAAGGTAGTTTTATTGTTTGTGTTTCACCAAGCTAAGCTCATAGATAATGCTCGGTGTATTATTTCCACTCAACCTCATAGTCCCACTGTTTTTTTTCCATCCTATTGTTAATATTTATTTAATTCCTTTACGTTCCTAATGAAACATAGGGTCTCAAACTTAATTATTTATTTGAATTTTAGATTTTCTCGTCGATTGATTACACCGAAGTGCTCAATCTCAGGTTGACACGTCGGCTTCTTGTGCAGATGCTTTGACGATATCTGGGCATTTAATCAGTAGACCGAGTACTTCGGTCCAATCAATCGACGGGAAAATTTAAAATTGAGTTAAATAATGTGACTTACTTTACTTCGGCTATCTCCTACGGGAGGATGAGCCGGCTTCATGAACATCTCGAATCATCGCTGCCCAGGCGCGGCGATCGTTTGTAAGAGAGTTAATGAAGTTTCATGGGAATTTGGTACGAGTGATGTCCCCAGAATCGCTCGGCCTTTTGTTTGAGAGTGCAGCTCTAGCCTTTACACAACCAGGTGTGACCTAAAAGGCAGTAGGAGTGGAGTAGGGAGTCCACCATCCATTGGCAGCCGGTGACCGGAGTTCGGTTCATACGCCTTTTTGAATGGGGCCAGACATCCAAGAAGCCCTTTGTCCATACGTCTGACGGTGAGCTCCATACGCCAGTCGCTGGAGGTTTGGAATCAGGGTTTAGCCATCTCCCCTAGACTGTCATCGAATGGACAGTCAACCCGGTGAAGAGCGCCGAGCATCCGCTTTCGCCCTCTCACTTTGGTGAAAAAAAACCTCCACCACGTGAAGGCAGTGAGTAGGACTTCCTCAGGAGAGGCTATGTAAGACGCCCGGTCATATGGGAGCATTTCAAGAGGTGTCTGTCTGGATTCAACATAGAACTTGGCACCGAAGTGCACCAGTTCCAGTTGCCACGTTCCAAATACCACACAAAGGTAGACAAGAAAATGAGTGAAGAGAATCAATAGAGTTTTGACAAGTATAAGAGTGAAACAGAATGAGTAATGGTAGAAAGGAATATGAAAGATTACAGAGACTGAATACATCTGCGTAAGCCATTGACAACGATTTTGAGCCATGTCACCTATTGTCTCCAGCCATTGATTCTTGGAGTCCCGAGGGCCCCAACCCGGAAGTCTGCATCTCCCTCCCTACCAGACTCAGTTTAACTGTCAAGGATTTCATGGATTGATGAGGCCATGTTTTTGTTTGGCCACCACTTACTCTTTTCCAACCTGCACCTATATCAGCTAGTAATGCCCGTCGGGAGGGGGAGACGATGGTTAGGCACGCGCAGCACGTGGCCTAATCATCTCAATCTATGTAACTTTATAGCCTCTTCGAGTGATTTTCCCTCTTTGCCCAACACTCTACGCCTAACGTCAACATTACTTACCTTATTATACCACCTAACGTCGTGAGAAAGAGATCGTTAACATCTGTGGTCAAAAACAGTCAACCTCTTCATGTCTTCCGCTCTCAATGGCCACGTCTCACCGCCATAGAGAAGGACGGAGCGAACTGCTGAGCAGTATACACGTCCCTTGGTTGACAGTCGGATGTCACGCCTACGCCAGAGACGGTGTAAGTTAGCGAAAGTAGCCCGAGCTTTCTGGATCCGTGCTGTGATTTCGTCACCAATCAATCCGTTGGCGCTGATACAACTTCCTAAATAGGTGAAGTGGTCAACATGTTCTATCAAGAGGTGTGCAGAGGGGTGGCCAACCCGCAGCGCAAGGCACCCACCCCCGACCATCCTGAGGCTTTGGAGGCCCGTTGCACACGAGGTGGCTATCGTTGCCCAAGTGGTCTAGTTGATAACTCCTTGGCGTTTGAAACTATGGGCAGTGGGTTCGAGCCTCGGTAGGAACATCATCACTGACTCACTGGGAAACGCAGGTACATCCAGCTGGCGAGTCTCAAATGGGACGAAATGCACATCCTGAATTCTACTGCTAGTCACAATCGACCAATTAAATTTCAAGCTTAATGTTTGAAGTTTCAGCAGCAATATGTTTGTATTTCCACGAGGTAGGGTTGCTAGCCTCATGCCCTGACCGGACTAAACGAGGTTTAGGAGAGTGCGTCGGCCGAGGATCGAACCCTCCGACCACGTGAGTAGTTGGCGAGCGTTTTACCGCTGAACCACCGACGCTATTATTAATATGAATACCTATAAAATTCTATATCTTTTATTTTCTTAAAGTGCAACTTTCCCTTCAATGATTTCCATTTCACTCCACTCCAACGGCCTGGACAATTAGATATTATTATTATGAATTGTCACGCTTATAGTTTTAATCTGGTGTCTTTAGAGGTGTGGTTTGTTTTAAATAAAAACAGCACATTGAGGCATGGTTGTTTTCAAATTAAAACAACACATTGAAATCCCGGGGGTACATATAATTGTCCTCTTTTACTATTATCACTAACTATTGATTGATTTTGATTTGGTTGTGTTCTCTGATGAGTTTGATTAGGGTTCTAATTGCGAAGCTTTCATCATCCCCCATCTAGACAACACCTTCAGCGCGAGCGTTAGTATTACAGTGAAGTTGTTTGAATTCTCCATAAATGATATAATTGCCTTTTCTTGACAAACATTGTTGTGATTGGTTGTTAATTAATTTACATTGATCATTGGAGAATTCAAATAAATTTATTTCATATTGAAGCTTGCGCTGAAGATGTTGTCTAGAAGGGGGGGGAGGCAATGAAAGCTCTGGAGTTAAATTATCAACCTGTTCAAAGAACACAACCAAATCAAAATTATCCTGACCTATAATAAATCTTCTCTATTATTTCAAAATACCGATTGCCTGAATGTACATACACCCAAGCAGCTTTGCTGTCGACAGATTCTGCTACAATGAGAAGTTTGATGTAAAAGTGTAATATTTCTGTTTGGCTGGTCTTGTATGCGAGATGACTTCTATTGGGCTTGTCTATGCAGTGCACAATCACGAATTCGTAGGAGTTAGAATTCATGAACTGGCTGTTGAATCGGGTCGGCTCCCAGTGGCTTACGAGCTTGCCCTGTGACTGGAAGCTCCTAGGTGCCGAAACAAGTGGGTGCGTACTGCCGATGAGTTTTAAAATAGGCCGATGAAACAGCTGTCTAGTACTCCCAGTGGCGATTTTCAATGACTAACTGATATCAATCCGTGGTCTAACCTGAATTGATAGATACAATAAGAGGTGGTTAGCCTAAGGCAATTTATCTTTCAGTTTCAGAGTCACAACACGATCGTGTGGAAAAGGTGAGCTGCAGCTCACCTACAAGTAGCCAATACATGGCACACACACTCCTGAAGTTATTTTAACAGTAGATTCGAGCTATATAGTCTTGCTTACTACCAATAAATCCTGTAGTAAACATAGCATAAGCTATATAGACGAATACGAGCATGATATACCATTGTCTTAGCTCACTTATATGACTGTGGATGGTTTTCTTGGTATAGTTTGGTAGACGTATAGAAGCTATTTGCATGCTAAATTGATTGGCAAGGATAACGGTTTCATTGAATTTGGTGGCTGCTGTCTTCGTTTGTATGGGGCGTATGATCACTATAGCGTCGCTACACTTGGCTGGTGTTGTATGCGAGATGAATTGGGCTTGGCTATGCAGTGCATAATTGATCGGAGTAATTACACTTACCTATGCATTATTGCATATACTAACGGTGTGAATGGTCCACCGAGGGAGAGGCCTCTAGAGTGGTTGCGCTGCATGCTGGTCTCTTCTCTCAAGAGGCAGGGATAAGTGTGTTCGGTTCACCTGAAAACCAGTCATTGGGTGTACCATTATGTAAATACTTGCCCGGTAGTCATATGCTTGTTTCAGAGATTAAGCCATGCATGTCTAAGTACATACCTTAAAACGCTGAATAAATCAGCTATGGTTCCTTAGATCATGGATAACTGTAGTAATTCTAGAGCTATTACGTGCAATCTGTCTATTCGGATAAATAGACTCTATGCAATATGTAACTTCTCATGTGTATTAACAAATTCATCCCCAACCGTTCTTGTTAACACTCACGTTTCGTTTATGCCTTGTTTTTTCGCACTCTCACCACAGGTTATGCAAGATAATTCAGGATCTATATATCAATCACCAGATCAATTATTCATGGAATGCCTGTCTGATGCTGTAGCAGCAGCCAGTGACAATGTCGGCAACAGAGAACAAGGCATAGAGGAGAAAAATTCACCTGGCTTGAGACGATTACTACCCAGTGCAGACAAAGAATTGATTAACTCTTTTCGAGATATTGTATCTGACCGGATAACTGTACGCTTAATGAATGATCCTGACTTTGATACAGTCCAGTTTCCTACAGCTACTCAAACATTTGTAAGGAAAGATCCGAAGGCTTCATCATAACACTCTTTTGGGCTGGTGATGCTTGAATACTAATGATACTAATACCAATAATGATAAATATTACAAAACCATTCGTACGATTTTATTCTTCTGCCTCTTCTACTACTTTGCACACACACACACAGTGTTGTGTGTTGTTCACTTCACAGTTTAAAAATAGCCAAGTCTTATGATGAGGCGACGGCGGCGGCGCGGGGGGCAGGCTTTTTAATGTGTTGTATGTTTTTTATTATTACTTTTTAATTTCGTATTATGTCAACTTCTGTTTATCTTTACAAAAAAATATTATTGATTCTATGATGAAGGAGAAAAAGTTGTTTTTTATTCACACACACACACACTTGTCTCCTTATGAATATACGCCTAAATATATATAAATATACATTGGTTGTCTGTCTGTCTGTTTTCGACATAGAACTTTGCACCAATGTGCGGCAGTTCAAGTCACCACACTCCCTCCATGTACCACACAAAGCAAGAGAAGAAATGCATATTACAGACAGTAAACAGTGGTGTGAGACAAAGGAATAGTAGTAACGAAGAGCAATATAGTTTCATTAGAAATCATTAGTCACAAGGAGTGGATGCGCCAGCCACTGAGAACGATTTTGAGCCACATCACCGATTGTTTCCAGCCATTGGTTTTTATCGTCCTGAGGACCCCAACCAGTCAGGAAGTCTACACCTTCCTACGTGGATTAGACTAACTGTAGTAGATTTCATTGACTGGTGCCATGTTTTGGTTTGACCGCCACTAGCTATTTTCCAGCCTGGCCCTATATCAGCTAACATTGCCCGTTGTCGAGGAAGGCGATGACTAGGCATACGTAACACATGTCCTAACCATCTCAGTCGATGTAATTTCACAGCCTCGTCGATTGATTTCCCCTCCTTACCTAGCCTTGCACTCGACGCCTAATCTCAATATTGCTCACCTCATTATGCCACTTCACACGGGAGGATAGAACGCAGGCACCTATGATCAAAGACAGCTAGCCAGCCTTTTCATGTCTTCCACTCTCAATGGCCAGGTCTCACAGCTAGCCATAAAGGAGGACGGAACGGACTGTTGAGCAGTACACACGCCCTTTGGTCGATAGCCAGCTGGATATCACGTCTACGCCAGAGACGGCGTAAACTGGCATATGCGAAACTAGCCCTCTGTATCCGTGCTGAGATTTCGTCAGCGATCAACCCGCTGGCACTGGCCCGAGCACCACTTAGTCTACGCATGATTATTGAGCCTAGGACTTTAGATATTATATTAGTCAAGCTAATCCCTCTGTGATTATCACAGGAAGACTTGTCTCCCTTCTTGTATATCGGGATGATCAGTGACTTACACCAACCCGATGGGACTTTCTCTGATTCCCAGACGCTGCCTAGAACCTTCGTTAATGCAGACAGTAAACTGTCTTCACCGTCCTTAAACACCTTCTGAGTCATTCCATCAGGTCCTGCTGCTTTGCCTCGTTTCAGACTAGTGACAGCTTTAGTAACCTCAGTTAAGGACGGAGGACCTGTGTCTATATTCCATTCAGGGAGGTTTTGGATGTTCGGCAGGTTAAGCTTGGCTGTAGGCCAATTAAACTGCTCCTCAAAGTGTTCTTTCCAGCGTTCAAGGCGTCTATCCTGAGAGCTAATTAAGGAGCCATTTTTCTCAGAAATAGTCTCACTTATGATTTGCCTTCTCCCACCCGTTTCCCTGATGAATCTAAAGAGTTGCTGTGTATAATGTTGTCAGTTTTGAGTAATGGAGTGGAGTGCGGAAACCACCGGACATCCAAAAGAAACAAGTTTTGGCGCATAATTCAAATCCTTTTTCATTATTTCAGTAAAACAGTAATAATAATAAAATAACAATACATACGTACATATACAACATTTGAAGATTCAGGGAAAAAAGAAAGAAGGAGAATAAATCATAAGCGAATAATAATTGTTACTAAATAATCACTATGAATGATGATGATTGGAGTTCACTGTTGATTTATTCATTCGTCGGCGATAAATAATAATAGAATCTTCTTTTTCAACGGAATCTTGTCGCTGATCCTTATCAACATCACTAGTGGTAGTAGTAGTGGATGGTTTCGTCTTTTTATTACGTGCCTCAGACGACTGACGACTAGATCGAAATAGCCAGGGGACAATATAAAAGTGCCAAAATGTCCATAGAATGAGACCGGTTAAAATTAACGACCAAAAAATGCATATATGATGAGGCAGTGGTTTAGTGACTACATCCCAACCGAATTTTAAGACAATCAAGAATTCAGTTATGATAATGCTTGCCAGCATCCATGCTTGTCTTCCTAAACGTTTGCATTTTCTGAAAGAAAAAAAAACAACAAACAAATGGCTATTTAATATAAATATCATTGAGATTATTGTACGATTACATGGTAACTGACTGACTGGTTTCAACATAGAACTTTGCACCGATGTGCAGCAGTTCGAGTCACCACACTCCTTCCATGTAGCACACAAAGCAAGGGAGGAAAGTAAAACAGAAATACAAAGTAGAGACAGTAAACAGAGATATGAGGCAAAAAGAATAGTAATATCGAAGAACAATATAGTTATATTGGGTATTCTAAGTCACAAAGAGTGGATGCATCTGCGTCACGCACGCATGATCAGTAGCCGGATATCACCTCTACGCCAGAGATGGCGTATACCAAACAAGCCTTCTTCTGTATCCATGCTAAGATTTCGTCAGCGATCAACCTTTTGCGGCTGGCTGATGCAGCTTCCCAAATAGATGAAGTGGTCAACACGCTTCATCAACCACTTCGCTCCCTATCTTTTAGCTATAGGAGTTGATGCATTTCATTCCTGTAGCATCATCTCACATTTGACAGTAGGAGCGAGTTGCATGCCAGACATTCGCAGATTGCAGAAGACTGCATTTTGTCAGCGTGTTCACCTAGGAGGAGGGTCTGTATCATCTGCATATTCCAAGTGAACGAGATTATACCCTGGTAACAACAAGTCAATCCCTGGGTCGCTGAATTCACTTAGGGTTAATTCCATTAGTATATCTATGATGAAATTGAACAGAAATGGGGATAGTGGGCATCCCTGTCGGACACCACTAGTTGTCACCAGTTCAGATGACAACTTGCCGTAAGCTCTCACCTGGCTGACTGCATGAGTTCGAGTAGAGTGCAATGTATTTTCTCAGCATTCCTTTTACAGCCAAGCATCGACATAGTACCTCTCAGTCGAGAGAATCGAATGCCGCCTTTAGGTCAAGAAATATAACAGTTGTTGGACGCTGACGGTAAGCATGCCTATGTTGCAGAATCCATCGAAGGGTGAAGATATGATCAATACACCCTCTTACTTCCTGGTCTAAAGCCTGTCTCATTAAGTACTGTACGATTACATGGTACCCTGAACACATGAAGATGAAGTTATGCTCACGTTTTATATAAACAGCATGTCTAATGAAACACGAATTGAAAAACGTGACGATTGTTCCTTATAACAAACATTTCTTAAGAAAAAGGCGTAAACAGCGAAGAAAATTTTCTTTTCGACGATTCATTTTCATGAGCTGTACAATCGTAATTATAATTAACAAAGAAATCTTTAGACCAATCAGATACTGGTAAATTTTGTCCTTGGAAAATTGTATTACATAATGTAAGGTGTAAGAAGGGATGACTAATTGTATGTTAGAAAGGAGACAGAAGTTGGTATGACGTAATAAGTGTGAGATAGTGAATAATCAATAAGCTCATGTAGAATGGACAGGAACTAGTGGAAAGGCTACAAAGTGTTTTTGTATAAAATCTGTATGAAAAGCCAATGTTATTAATAAACAGTAATAGAGTGGTAATAAAATGTGGATGATGGGAATAACAATGATAATAAAAGTATTAATAATAATAATAGTAATAATAATAATAGTGAACTTACATAGTAAAGTAAACAAGCAAAATTGTAGTAAAAACTTTACTCTGGCCATGGTAGGACGAGAGAATGTATGTATCACTGTGAAGCATTCATATGGGGGTGCTCGATGTCCGGAGATCACAAGGTGTTCGAGGATAGAGCTGCTGCTATTCGTCTTTTCTCCTCTGGCTAACCAAGCTGGGCAGTGTTGCAGAATACGTTTGTGGACTTGACGTTGCGAACGGCCGTTATACTCTCACACTTATTACGTCATGCCAACTTCTGTCTTCTTTCTAACATACAATTAGTCATCCCTTCTTACACCTTACATTATGTAATACAATTTTCCAAGGACAAAATTTACCAGTATCTGATTGGTCTAAAGATTTCTTTGTTAATTATAATTACGATTGTACAGCTCATGAAAATGAATCGTCGAAAAGAAAATTTTCTTCGCTGTTTGTGCCTTTTTTCTTATGATTCAATATGGGAATATTTCGTTCATTGACAAACATTTCTACCTACTTCAAGGCTTTTTAAAGGAATATTCACGAATTTATCATTATTCGATCCACACACGCACTTTAACATCCTTACTGTAGGTTAAGCGTTTCCTGTGAAGATGTGTACATATCCATAAACATTCAGCTGACTTACTCAGAAAATAGTTAAGATCTAAATAAACTTACGGATCATCCAAATATTCAAAATATTCACGTATTGCTGTAGCTCCCATGAAAATAAGGAAGATTAAACGTCCAAGACAGAGAAAATGAGGAGGCGGTACCCAAAGTACATACTTCAAATAGAAAGTATTCAGTTCTGCTGTAAGTATCTACAAATTGGATATAAATTATATTCATTACATACACATTAGTGCTGTGGAAACCATAGGGGTGATCTTATTGGTAACTTCACAAATAATAATATTCGTGAGTTCGAAATATTGACTGATCCCTACATAGAACTTTCCACAGAAGGGTATCAGGCCAAGTTAAACTTTAAGCACCATTAACTACCAATCAACGAATGACTTCGAATGGTCCAATGAGGTTCATGCACGTGAGTTCAAGGTCGTATTCCGCTTGATTCGTATCAAATGCGTGCTCTAACGAAGTTATGCTTGCATTTCGATGAGGATAAGGTTTTACAGTATTGCCTGGATTTGGAGTTGCTTAGGAAGGAGAAGATTTGTTCATGTGGAGGTGTCATGAGTTTAAAAAGCTTTAGCAGGTCAACTGATGGATATGTCCATCGTTGTGCAATTTGCTTGAGACGAGTTAGTATTACGGAAGGTAAGCTGATGATTTTAATATTCACAGGAACATTTTTTGCTAGGTAGCATCTCTCCCTAACCCAGATTTTGTATATTTGTAATTACTGGGTTTAAAACAGCCTGTGAGAGGTGCAGCTGCTGAAAATAGCCTCGTGTCAACAGTTTAGTGGTACCAGCACTACAGAGACATCGCCTCATGGAAAATGGAGAGAATTACTTCGTTGTTAGGCGGCGAGGTGTCGTCGTACACGTGGACGAAACTATCTTAATGAGAAGAAAATACAACCGTGGTCGTGAGTGAGCCAACAGTGTTTGGATGATCGGTTTATACGACATCTCCCTGCAGAAAGGATTCGGGGAGAAAATACCAGTCAGAAAATCTACAACCTTAGTACCTACTGTCACTCGACTGGTGAAACAGGGATCTATAGTAATTACTAATGAATGGAAAGGTTTTAACTCGCTGTCATCTCTTGGATATATTCGTCACAGAGTGAACCATTCTAGTGATTTTGTGGATCCCATTACAGGGACACACGAATTCTATAGAAGGATTTTGGGGAAGATTAAAAAATCGGATTAGGGCTATAAATGGATCTCAAAAGAATGTCACTAATAGTCATTTGGATGAATATATTGCACAGAATGTGGTGTAACTTTTCTTTTGACACTCCTGTGCCGAATCGGGAGATGTTTCTGTCACAGTTTAGAGAAAGATACCCTATGTAAAACAGTTTTATGCTTTTTTTTAAAAACATGCGTTTTTCTTAATCGAAATTCCCTCTTCCATATGATTGGTTCGTTGAAGGTCGTTCGCTGATTTGTAGTAGTTAGTGGTGCTAAAAGTTTAAATTTGCCGGATATCAGTTACATTTGGTAGACTTTGAAGACAAGCACTCGTCTGTTCGACTGATATCCCCCCGCTAAATCTAGTGGTCAACATTCGACTTTTTTTTATTAGTTATCGTCAAACTAGAAGTTGGTGTGGTTCCTGTCCTGCAGTACCATTCGTTAGAAGTACCCTTCACCATGGCCTCTACATGAGGTGTTCAGACGACTGCATTTTGCCGCCTGCAAAGACTTCATCAATGAGACTTAACCCTGGTTACAAGTCAGTCCTGGGGAACGAATGGTTGTCATATCACATGCAAACTGTCCAGATGCTTTTACACCGCTGCATGAGTTTCAGTAGAGTGCTGAGAAGTTCTCGTTTTTACATTCTTCGGCTCACAGGACTCTTTAGTCTTCATTTGATGAATATTATCGTCTGAGGCTGATACTTTATCTACTTCTTCCAGCTCGGTGAATGTTCGAAGGTTTGGCGCTCCTGTTCGTATTCAAATAAGTCTATTAAAACATGAGCTGAGACTCACTGAATCTTAGCCGCATTTTATCAGATGTCTCCACAGTATTTCAGTAGTATAGTGAATGTAGTCTGTAGTTTTTTTCAGCATGAGTACTGTTTCCGTGCCCTGACTTTCCGTCAAATAATATTCTCGTAATTGTGCAGTAACAGGGAATTGTAAGAACTAATATTTTTGTGGTGAGAGCTGTCTACTAGCCAAATTGGTAGACAGTAATTTACGTTCTCAAGATTTGTCGTGAGAAAATATGAACAAAGACTGATTCAACAACCAACTACAGTAGACTTTGCGTAGGCGGATGCAGTTAACATATAGAGGATTTGACATTCAAAAAACCAGTCACAAATAGATGAAAGATTAACTTTACGTGAGAAACAACCAATCGGAAGACTGTGTTTGTTTGCTTAAATATCCATAGTAGTGTACATGAAAATATATAAATATGCGTTGATTTCCTTAATAAATGATCTGTTGCCTGACTCTTGCCTTCTGTCGTTACATTTTTATTTTGATTTACAGCTTGATGCCACACCGTATTTTCAGTACAAGTATGGAATTTTCAGCATGGATATCGGTAGCCCAAATTTTGCAGGCCGACCATAGATATCGAGTGTGCGTCGGCAGGGGATCGAACTCCAGACCATATGCATGGTCGGCGAGAGTCCTAACCACTGTGCCACCAACGTTGTTAGACCGCAATAAAAGTGTAGAAAAAGTAACTTTATTCTACTGTGAGAGGGTTATTATTATTTATATATAAGTCGATTATGATAAAAGTTTTTAAAAATAATATACTCACCACAATTGCCAGGAACAAAGTTCCCAACCATCGTTTTAAGCTTCCAGTTGGTCGCCAATCAAAATCAGTCCATCTGTGTGGTGTGAACTGTAGCATAGCTCTTCGAAGTTTACCCCTATTATTAAAATTATGAAAAAACCGGGAATAAATTCCTGTTAAACTGAGTGTCTTGTTTTGGGGATCAATAAATCAATATTTTGAACAGTTGCTGTGAATATTAACTTTACAAATTTGTGATACTGTCGATTTAACTTTAACTTGAGTATTATTAGATGGTTGGAGGCAATCGGCCAGAGGAAGCCTTGAACCCAGGGTTTCGTGCTTGTTAGGTAGGATTCATCAGTCAGTAAGGCGTATCTGCAACCTTTCTGACATTCGAACCTTTGTCACTCAGTGGTGCAGTCAGAGAGGTTACCACTGAGCTATCTGGGCTCGCGATTAACCTGCTGTAGGACTGTATTAGATACTTCTATTGAACACTAACTAGTATCATGTGTCTGGCCCTTTGTTTACTGTCTAGACACACATGACACTAGTAAGTATCCAATCAAATTATAAGATTTGATAATGTGGAATATTCCCATATTATGAATTAAAAGTCAATCTGAACGAAGACTGCGTAGAGAAAGAACTCCAGGTCATCCGAGACATTCTAAGCGAGAACGGATATCCAGAGAAGTTCATTAAAGCCAACATAGGTTACAATAGTCGTAAACATGAACTGGCAACGGTGGAGAAAAAGTCTCTGTTTTTACGTCTCCAATTCAAGGGAGATACTCCTGCGGAGATTCTATCGCAACGTTTAACCAGGGCGATCAAGAAAACTTTCTACTCTGCACGTCTGTGTCTATCCTTCAGTAGCCGTCCAATGTTCACCCAGCAACTCAAAGATGTCTTACCTAACCTTAGCTCTTCTTCATGCATATACCATTTCAACTGTTCCTGTGGTTCAAGTTATATAGGGCGCACGATTAGGCAGGTTCGTCTACGGGTTCGAGAACATTTACCAGCCTGGTTCAGCAGGGGGGAAATTAAGTGCATAAAAAGCTCGATCCTGTCACAATTGGTCGATACTGGACATCATACATCGATGTCAACACAGCTTTCAGGGTTATATACCGAATTCCGAAGTCGTTATCACGTACAGTTCGCTTACGTCTCCTACACATAGCTGAAGCTGTTGCAATAAGATCGACTAAACCTGAATTTTGTATCCAAAAAGAACACGTCCAGACGCTGTTCCTACCGTGGCCAAACTTGGATTGATGATTCTTCTTCTCACCAAGAGTGCTCCTTCCCCTTAACCCTCTTGGTTTTTTTCCTTTGCTTATTATTACAATTATTATTATTATTATTCGTCATAATTTATGCCCTTCATGCAAACATTCTCTCAATACTATCGAATTTTTCATTTATACTATCCGGACTTATTATTAGTGATATTATCTCTTTTCTCAATATATGCCTCCACCTGTTTCATTTCACATATTCGTTATTTCATTATGAACCTCTCATTGCAGTCTTACTATCTCCTCCTCTTTAATACAACATACCACTTTGTACTAGCCACTCCACTCACCTGACACCTTTTATAACCTTGAACTTACTTGTCAATTTTCCTACCCCACGCTCTACAAATCTATTATGATTAATCACCACCACTGTCTCCGTAGTCTAACCTGAATTGATAGATACAATAAGATGTGGTTAGCCTAGGGTAATGTATCTCTCAGTTTCAAAGTCACAACATGATCGTGTCGTTATAGGTGAGCTGCAGCTCGCCTGGAGGCTCGAAGTTTCTGTAGCAGTGGTGTTTATTTTTGCGGGATGGGGTTACTAGCCTCATGCCCAACCTCCTCTTTCTGCCAGTCTTATTTCTGGCTTAGCGAGGTAAAGGAGTGCGTCTGTGGCCGGAGATTGAATCCCGGACCACATGCGTGGTTGCGAGTATTACACCGCTGAGCCACCGACGCACACTGTAAACATAGCATAAGCTATATAAAGACGATACGAGCGTGAGATATACCATTCTCTTAACTCGCTTATATGACTGTGGATGGTCTTCTTAGTATAGTCTTGGTAGACGAATAAAAACTATTTGCATGCTAAATTCATTGGCAGAGATAAAGATTTCATTGAATTTGGTGAATGCTGTCTTCGTTTGTATGGGGCCTATGGTCACTATAGCGTCACTACGCGTGCTACTCTTCCTTATAATAAAGCGTTTGAGTTATATTGAGCTTGGCTATGCAGTGCTTAATTGATTGATGCGATCATTGATCGGTGTAATTGCACTTACCTATGCGTTATTGTGTATACTAACGGTGCCAATGGTCCACCGAAGGAGAGGCCTCTCGAGTGGTTGCTTCACAGGATGATACTGCATGCCGGTCTCGTCTAGCAAGAGGCAGGGATAGGTGTGTTCAGTTCTCCTGAAAACCAATGCCGAGCCAATGGGTGTACCAGTGGTCATATGCTTGTCTCAGAGATTAAGCCATGCATGTCTAAGTACATAGCTTAAAACGGTGAAACCGCGAATCGCTGATTAAATCAACTATGGTTCCTTAGACCACATATACTACTACATGGATAACTGTAGTAATTCTAGAGCTAATATATGCAATTATGCCCTGACCCGCAAGGCAACAGGTGTATTTATTAGTATAGAACCAATCGGGGATAGTTTCGGCTGGATAACTTTAATGTGATCGCGGTCGGCCTTCTGTTGGCGACGGATCTTATCAAAGAAGGAAACAACAACACAGAGATTCTGTTTCACTGATCAATTTAGAACGTTAAACATCGGATGTAGCAGTCAAAAAGCAGTCGGAGCAGTGGGGCAGCATCAATCGGATGAATATACATTTCGGGTAAACCAAATGACAAAGTTTTTTAAAAAAAATATGCACAATTTACCTGTAACTCGGTATATTCCACATTCCTCGCCAATAATAATGTTTCATACTTAAATAATTCATTGTTTTCATTCCTAACCAAATTCCAAGCAGATTACAGCCTAAAAAATCCATTATCCACTATAAAGAAAGAAGAAGAAGAGAGAAAAAAGTGAATACATTATGTGAGATAGAATTAGAGAATTCGCATTGTTCTTTTCATTTTGTTTTAATGCATCAACCATCAAATGAACGATGGGTGTGAAAACATTTTTAAAAAATTAAATGACCTTGATTAAGAAGAAGAAGGAGAAAAAAGGGGAATAGAGATCAAAGACATTTGTTATGCATTCTCGCGCATCCCTTCTATTTGTTTCAATCAATAAAATAAAGGTTATACATTCTAGACCTTGATCTCCATTTTTGACTGTGATACAACAACAACCACCCTTGAAAGCTGAAAATACTTCACACGACACTTTTGTAATGTACGATGAAGGTTGTATATGGTGGTTTGATTTTAAGCCATTTCAACAGTGCTCACCCAGGAGTCCATTACACCTAAGAACTATATTTAGAAAGTTAGAGACTAAAGCTCAGTATAAACACTTCATCCGTTTTGTATCTACGAGATACAAACGTCACCTGATCAAGTGCTTAGCATTTAGAGGGAGGTTGACTTGCTTCGAAGATTGTGTAGACAGAGAACATCATGTCTTGAGGAGTTCATAAAAGCCATTTTTATCACATCCACAATTCAAGGGAGATACTCCTACGTAGATTATATCCCAACGTCTAACGAAAGCGACAAAGAAGATTTTCTGCTCTTCATATCTGTCCGTGTATTTCACTAGCCGTTCAGTGTTCCCCTAGAAACTGAAAGATGTCCTACCTAACCTTAAATTTTCATTATACATATACCCCTTTCAACTGTTCCTGTGGTTCCAGTTATATACGGCGTACGGTTAGGCAGGCGTTCGCCTACGGATTCGGGAACATTTACTAGCTTGGTTCAAGGAATTATGCATAAATTCGATTCTGTCGCAACTGGTTGATAGTGAACATCGTATCGACGCCAGCATAGCCTTCACTTCAGGGTTATATACCAAAATTCCGAAGTCATTATCACGCACAGTTCGCCCACGTGTTTTACAAAAAACTGAAGCTGTTGCAATAAGATCGACTAAATCGAGACTTTGTATTCGAAAAGAACACGTCCAGACGGTGTTCCTACCGTGGGTGAACTTGGATTGAAGTTTCTTCTTCTCACCAAGAGTGCCTATTCTCTTTACCTTTCTTTTTCTTTCGCTTAGTCTATTATTTGTTAAAATTCGTACCCTTCATTCTAGTGTCCTATTAATACTACCAAATTTTCCCTTTATATTATTCGGATTTATTATTAGTGATATTATCCCTATTTTCGATATATGCCTCCACCTATTTCATTTCACATATTGGTAATTTCATGATGAACAATTCACTGCAGTCTTACTATTGTGGTTAGAGCTGGCTGTGAGCAAGCCAAAATTGTAGACAACAATTTGCGTCAATGTTTATGTTCCGAATCGGGGTTACAGAAAAGAAACAATAACAAAGCTTAACCTTGAGGAACTCAACAACCAGTCACAGCAGACTTAACGTGTGCAAATACGATTCGCAGATATATACCCTAGCTTTCTAAGAAACGTTCACAAGCAGTACAGAATAACCTTCAGCAAGAAAACAACCAATCAGAAGAGGTTGCTTCTCCGCTGACAGTAATGTAGATAAAAATCTATAGATATCTGTTGATTTTTTCAATAAACGATCTGTAGACTGCCTCTTGTTTTCTGGCGTAACACTATCTTCTCTTAAATGTACACATACTACTTTGTACCTAGCCACTCACCTGATACTATCATCGTCTCACATTTTACAATATTTTTTCAATTCCCTACAGCCTAGCTCGTATGTCACACAAGCATACTATTTGTTTCGTCTCTCTATAACTACTAATCTGTTATTCTACGTAAAAAAGTGAGTACCCGCCGCATAACTGGCCATTATTGTAGGTGATAACAAATATTATATTTTATATTCACGTGTTGGTTTGCAGGGATTTGACTGGTTACAGGATTTCATCACACGATGAGCTGACATCGGTTACAGAACCATTGGAAAACCAGCTAGGATTACTGGACACTCATTTCGTCCTAGTTAGGGGACTCTTCATCAGTACGCACCCACCCAGCACGGTTCGAACCCAAGAACTTTTGGTTACAAGCCAAACGAGCTCGTAGACCATTACACCACTGAGACCCGACCCAATCAAATGACCAGTCCACGAATCCCAACTTCTCCCAATTCAGGCACGATATAGCGCAACTACTAGACAGTGTCATCGGTGGCACGACAATTATATTTTATAATTGTAACAACCTGAAGAGGAGAATTTATTCTTTGTTCAAAAGGACTTTTAATTCAAAAAATACAGGAGTATTTCACACTACTATTGAAAACTCTAGAATCTATGGCAACCTTAGCTCCATAGTATTATAAACATCTCCTCCTCCCCCCCCCCCCCCGCATCCTTGAATAGAAAACCATTGAGTATTAAATATATTATCAGTTAATAAACAATACACTGTATCCTTGTGTGCTTTATTTAATTATATTAGTTCTGTTATAAGAATTAACCTCTACCACAGTGACCAAATTTCTTTCTTTATATGTATAAACAGACTATGAAAGTGGTTTTTTATTCATGCCTTACACAAACCACACCTTAAATCAAGTTCACATTTCTTTTTTATTGCAAAGTAAAATGTATGGTTTTTTTCAGTAGATAACTTCAATTATACCAAGGGTTTAAACACAAAATGAGAACTATATTTATACATATATTATTGAAAACATAATGGCGCAAAGAGATGCGCCACACAACAACAATATGCATTGATTGCGACTCTTGGCCACATTAGATAACATTTAGAGTTAATGAAAACAAAACACGTGTAGTTCAGCGAAGAGTCTCTTTTCGCCGGTGAATTCATTTTCATAGCTGTACAATCGCAAATATATATACGTGGTTGTTTTGTATGTGTGTACATTGAGTTTGTCAAACAAAAATACAATTGGTTATGGTTACTTTAACTAAACAGGTGAAGATTGGTTGTTGGAGTTACGTAATACAAAATCAGTCAAGAAAATTAGGTGTTAATGAAATTAGGGTAGTAACAAAGGTGATGAGTTGTCACAAACAGTTGTTAAAAAAGAAGTTATGTAATAATATGAATAGTTTGATGATTGAGTTGTACTCAGGATACACATAGGAACAAAGTAGAGAATACGAAATTACGTAAGAGTTCTAAATGAATACAAGAATTATAAGCAATTAAAGAAACAGGCAAAGAAACAAAATTAAGTCATCAAAAATCAACAAAGTTGTTACCATGACAGTAGAAGTGGTTGAGTAATTCTCTTTTGTATGCACACCTCTGGTTTTTCTATGTGAATAGCCAGAGCTTCAGCGATACAAAGAAGACTAAACCGTATTGCTGGACAGTGTTCTTGAATCCTCTTGGACAGGGTGCGCATCGAACAACCGATGCACCTGGCGCCACAGCAGCAGGTGAACTGATATATGCACATAGAAGTGATCAGATGCAGGATCTTGTCCTTGAGGCTTCGTATTCTCTTCTTTGTTCTTATGTGTATCCTGAGTCAAACTCAATCATCAAACTATTCATATTATTACGTAACTCCTTTTTAACAAGTGTTTGTGACACACCTTTGTTGCTGCCCTAATTTCATTAACACCTAATTTTCTCAAGTATTGGTTTGGTAGGGATTTTGTTTAATTGTATGGAGGATTTCATCATGAGCTGACATCAGTTAGAGAACCACTGACGAAACAGCTGTCCAGTACTCCCAGGTTTTCCAGTGGTTCTCTAACTGATGTCAGCTCATGATGAAATCCTCCATACCTAATTTTCTCTACTGATTTTGTATTACGTAACTCCGACAACCAATCTTCACCTGTTTAGTTAAAATAACCATAACCAATTGTATTTTTGTTTGACAAACTTAATGTACACACACACACATGCAAAACAACCATATATATTTGCAATTGTACAGCTATGAAAATGAATTCGCCGAAAAGAGACTCTTCACCGAACTACGTCTTTTGTTTTCATTTAGAGTCACTGATTTGAACTGTCAGACCCAAATCAAAGAGCCATGATGTAGCACCAACTAATAACAACCTAACAAAGATGTCCTCTATCCAATGACGCCACATCATAGATGACTAATCATCTTTCCGCTTTTTCCATCCAGTCCCAGGGTTAGAGAATATGCGGCCAGTAATGAAGCCTGCAGGATGTACAAGTCACTGAAGCCGGTGTTTCCACATGATGGTGTACTCAATGAATGCTGATCTCCACCGTGTCGAAATACACACTGCAAGATTTCAGAATTACCCACACGATGACGCCATCGAACGCAAGCGATTCTGCGAAGATAGCGATAATCGAATACGTTGAGTGTTTAGGTTTCGCAGACGCAGAACAAGCTTGTGCCCACCGAAGCATTGTAAATCCAACCTTTGATAGCCAGACTAACGTCGCTAGAGGTATCTCAAATTGGCGTATGCGGCCATAGATTTCACTATACGGTTACAGATTTCGTTCGCCATACATCTACCAACAGTCACACAACTACCTAGATACACGAACTTGTCGACATATGCAAGAGATTCTCCTACAAGGGTAGGTTAGCGCCAGTACAGACTGTCAATCTTGTAACAGTACTTTACAGTTAAATGACTCAAAACACACGTCTTAGTTTCCCACTATACTGACAATGATTAGACTTCTGGAAATATTCCTTTACAAAGCATTCAATATTGGACAGATCACTGTTAAAGATACGAAAAAGGTTGAGACGGACAAATGAAAATGTATTCACAATCAATCAAAGTATATACTACAGTACATAACATTTGACTTCTATGCTGATTTTCGTATCGTATCTCTACTTCAGGAAGTCAATTACTTGTGTTATCCTTAGGTTATGAGTGGAACATACGGCTTCAAATGAACGTCTTTACTTCCTCCTATTAAAATAGGCGGTTCTAACATGACTTACATGTCACCCTC